CAATTTTTAGATTTTCTTATATTACTTTAGCTGACTTAATTATATTGTAAAGATTGTGTTTACTGGTTGAAGTTGCAAATACTGTAATAATATTTACTACTAAGGAGTTTGCTACTTAATACTGGACAGAGCCTGGTAGTTGGAGGACAGATTACACTGATTCTGTGGAAAGAGACAATATAGGAATTATTAAGAATATAAAGACCTGAGCTAACATATATATAGAGCTTTGGAATGGAGGAAATAACGGTCAGTACAACATAATATTATTGAACACAGGATGAACGCTTTAAAAAAATACTTCGAGATCTATTAAGAGAGACCGTTGCGTGCTCTCACCCACTTGATAGAAGAAATAATTTGTCCATGCTATTTAATTATAATAACCAACTCATTCTCCATCCTTCATCCTCCCTGAATCCAAAACCAAAACCCTCCTCACTCAAGCACAACCTAGAACCTTTACAGTCCGTGTCGACGACATCCTCTGCTTGCTCGAATCCGAACGTGAGGCCAGACATCTGCGCTAAAAAAATAAGCAAAAGCGACAAGGGGTCGGATTGGTTCTTCGGGAGGAGTACACTGGGCCGGGAAGGTGCTATTGCTCAACGGCGTTGGCACGCGAATCGGGGGCCCCTGGCTTTATACATACCAGCTGTACACACGGCGTTCTGGGACTTGGGCCGGCTTTAATCCACAGCGGCCAGTCCTTGGAGCTGGATTGACATCACAATCTGCCCACGTTGAAGGCTGAGCACATTGGCTCTCCCTTCTTGCGCCCATCGTTGATATATCTGCAGTTATTTCCATATTGTTCTATTTTCATAGCAAGACTCGGTTTTATTAAGGCCTTAGAACGTTGCAAATAGTCGAATGCACGGCGCACCTTCAGAGACTTGTCATGTTACGTACAAGGTATATTACCTAACCTGAGTCATCCGCTGTCTCAATCGACCCATAAAGGAAGGAATGATATACTCTCGTAGGTATAGTAATACAATAATATCATGAAAACCCCAAAAACAGAACAAGGCCATAAACCCTGACAGGAGCCAATTGTAGACAGGTAGACTGGAAAATGTATCTGAAAATAGATTCTTCTGTATATACTAACCATGTTTGGACTCGAGTTGATTGCAAGCTTGCTTGAATAGAACCTTCAGTTTGAGTTACACACTCGAAATGCTTTTGATATGGTGTTATGGGTCGGCCTCTCGATGCATGTAAGTGGTGTTGGAACGTATGATAATTGTCGTCTGACTCCATGAATGGAGTTAATTGCTCCATTTTTGCAAGATTGATCACCAAAAGGGTTCTCTATCATATACTGAAAGAACTATGGCTTGATTAAATGCGTCTTCAGCGGCATTATAGGTGACTTAACAGGGTAGGCTGTTGAAACACGCCTAACCCCGGGACCATCACACCGGAGAGTCAACCCGAGAAGGGTAGGTCATCTCTTGATGGCTCTGATCTTCTTAATCCTTGGGACATGCAATCGCCACCATACAGAACACAGCAGGAGAGTCAGGCATAGCGACTTTGATATAGGTCATCACCGGTAAGTTGAAACTGAACCTTACAACAACATCAATGTCCCACGGCTCAATGAACCCATTCCGCGTAATACTTAGTCTTGAGCAATGAAAGCTAGATACGGAGTGGGTCTGCGCAAATTAAGATTGTAAGATGCTTCTTGGGCAAGAGACAAAGACTTGAAACTGTCGTCCAACAGTCAGTGGGCAACAGACAATATGCGGGGTTCTGGGGGCTGCTCCTTGTCCGGCCCACAATGCCCAGGACCCCGGATGACCCGGGGAACATCGGGGTCGCATTAGCTGGGCTATTATACTCATGTTTGGTATCGAATGTGCACTCTGCGTTTGACTTGTGTTCGTCCGTACAGGGTCACTGCGACAGTGCAGCAGACGCTACGGCCATCACATCCGATAACATACCATAGGCCAGATGGAAACCTCCCCCCTCCCCGGGCGCGCGCGCATCTCCAGCTCGCAGAAGCTATAGCCGAAATCTCACTTGATCAGGTAAAAGAGCAGGATATTAAGAATATTCAGGTCTCTGAAGAAGGCCCTAAAGACCACCAAGAGCGACGCGACACCCACAAATTGTCTTTGGGTCAGTACAGTCATACTAATGCTGCTGTATGTCTTTTTTAATTGGCGTTCTTCTGTTTCCTGTACTCTTACTAGTCTGTTTGCTAGGCTGGAAGTACTATATGCATGTTTCCTTGGTATCTCCACAGTGCCGAGATTGAGCCAACGAGAATCTTGACCGAGCCGGTGGATTCTTTTTCTCCGGAGCCTCGGCTGTTCGTACACGATGAGAGTATTAGATAACATGGGCGATCCCACGCTCTTGGATTCCCCTGTCAATCAATTCATATTGTTTATGGTTCACGCTCAGCACTCACCCAGTGACAGATCAACTCATAACATAAAAGCGGAAAAGTTCGTAGATTCACCACCTTTCTCCCATTGAACCGGGCCGTTGCAGCGAGAATGGGCTCCAACGAAGAATCCAGTTGGCAACACCGAGTCGAGCAGAAACGACAGAGGTGCGCCAACCACATACCAGCCGAATGGCGTATTCCAAATGAAGTGATGGCTTCCCTACACGCTCCTCTAGCGGACCACAAAAACAACTTGATCCAAAATGATATCATCCGTGAATCTGGCATCATGACGCAGCACGAGCTGCAGATCACAGAAGAGTACACGGTTCCAGAATTGCTAGCGGCATTGGCCAACGGAAGGTTAAGCTCGGTGGAAGTGACTATGGCATACTGCAAGCGGGCAGCCATCGCACAGCAACTGGTATATACCGCCAGTCTCCTCAATCCCACGTTTGAACCGCTAACCATCCTAGGTTTCCTGTCTGACAGAGACAATGTTTGCGGAGGCCCGTGAGCGAGCCCAGTATCTCGACCAACTTCGCTCCCAAGGACAATTGGTGGGTCCCCTTCACGGTCTGCCCGTGAGTATCAAGGATAGCTTTCACTATAAAGGTACCGAGGCTACTATTGGCATGGTCTGCTTCCTGGATGAGGTTTCTACAGGGCATTCACCGCTTGTGGATATTCTCTTGAATCTGGGGGCGGTCATCTATGTGAAGACTAATGTACCCCAGACGATGATGGTAAGATCACTTAACCCAATGAGCGGATCAAAACTCAGACTTCTAGGCGCTTGACTCGCACAACAACGTCTTCGGTCGTACCCTGAACCCTTGGAATACCACTCTAACTCCTGGAGGATCGAGTGGTGGCGAGGGCGCACTAGTTGCACTGCGAGGATCACCTTTGGGAGTCGGCACTGATGTGGGCGGTAGGTCCAACGTATTTAACCACTCACTTCCCTTGGCTGACAGGTTGCGTTGTTAGGCTCCATTCGCGTCCCTGCTCTTTGTTGCGGGACTTACGGCTTCCGACCTAGTGCGTCAAGAGTTCCAAACGCAGGCACTCGTATCTGCTCAACTAGCGGAATGCGATTCATTCTCTCGTGTGCTGGGCCTTTGTCCCTGGACCTTGACGGGCTTGAGGTTTTCTTTCGCTCGGTGTTTGATATCCAGCCCAGTCTATATGACTCCACTGTCATCGATGTGCCCTGGCGAGATGTCAGGGCGAAGTCTAAATTGAGAATCGGTGTTGTTCCGGAGCACCCAGTCTTTCCATTGCATCCCCCAATCAAACGGATACTGGCAGAAGCGATACAACGTCTGGAGCACCAGGGCCATGAGATCGTTCACCTCACTAACGAAGAGTGTTGGATCAAGGAACTTAATGAAGTGGCATCGGGGATCTTCGGGCTGGACCAGAGCGCCCTCGGCCATGTCCTCTCCGCCGGCGAGCCTGTGGTGCCAGCACTGCAACACATTGGCGCCCAGATTGCAAAGGTGAAACAGTTCCATAAACCATCCCTACCGGATATGAGTTCGATGGACCGTCTAGCCAAGTTGGCCGCTCTGAACACTCGTCGAGCCGAACTCAAGGAGGAATATCGCAAGATGTGGAAACAACATGATCTGGATATTTGTCTTGCACCACCGGCACAAAACACCGCGGTCGCCCATGACGCCTTTGGTCCTGCACCATATACCATTTTCTTGAACTGTCTTGATGTATGCCACCTTCACTCTATTTGCGTTTCGCCAGCTGACATACCATTAGTATCCCGCATGTGTCATTCCATTTGGGCAGGTCAACGAGTTGGACGCGACAGAAACCTTCCAGGTTGGCGATGAGCATATTGCACCAGAATGTGAGTATATCAGCGATAGGTTTATTGTGACAGCACGACTGACATCTTATAGATGACTATAAATCAGTCGAAGGGGCCCCATGTGGGATCCAGGTTTTCACGACCACAATGCGCGACGAGGAGTGTCTACAGATGTCCAAGATTATTGATCAGTGTCTGAAAGGGTAAATCGGAAGTATGGGTTGCGTGCCTTAGGCTCGGTATCCACGAAGTAGTTTGAGGTTGCAAGATAGAGACGCTAGGATAACTAAATTATATACCCTAGTATAACCAGGTCAACACCTGTAATCCTGTATGGTTCTAGCCTTCAACCTACAACCCTAGGCAACTGATAGGGATTACAATAACTTCAATGTCATACCATCGTAGCAGCTCCTAAGAAGCAATCCGTCGTAATCTATAATTCCACCTAGTCGTTCTAAATGGCCTTTTCGCAGCATAATATTGAGATAACCAAGAAGGATGGACAGTAATTACTCAAGGTACTGATATCCCAAGATCTTTGCCTCATTTTTGGAAAATCAAAAGAACTATATGAACACTATTTTATCTGTATATGGTATGTAATGGCCAACTCGAGGTGGATGTGCCAAGCCCTGGATTTCTTCAACTCCTCCACCACGATCTCCACCGCCCCGAATCTGAATCTCCGCATCGATCGACGCCAACAGAGAGACTGTTTTAAAATCCCTCCATGCGTCCATCCGCTTGTGATCGATGCCATACGGTCCGATCCCGCTGTCTTGCGGGACCAGGAGAGACATGCTATCGCTGCTATCGTTTGCACTACACATGCACCTATTCCCGGCGACGCCAGCGACCGGGGCGAAAGCCACACGTTGCCTCGGTCGCGGAAACCGCATCAATGAAGGATTGCGATGGCATCTCTCCCACTTCAGATACCTCATTAGGTTTCACTGTTGAAGCAACACAGGAACGTGAGAATGGCGAGCTGATGACGACAAATGTGCCCAAAATAGAGCTTCTGAGCTTGCTACGCTGGGAGAGTTCCGTGTCCCGCGTGTCCGAGTATACGGCGGTCGAGATTTGTAAGTTTTTCTCACTCGGAGAGTCGTTGAGTCGTGAGATGAGCCAGATGATTCGCGCCCGCATCAAGGAGGCTCCCCTGCTACTGCTCGATCCTTATGTGGCTGTCAGCCGCGTCCTTCTGCGCTCGACCACCAACCAGCCAGCCTGTAGTGACGGTGACTGGGCTAGCTGTGCAGCTGCACTACAGGCATTGCGGAATGCCCAAATCACCAGTTCTGAGCATGCGGGCTACGTTTTATCCTTGGGGTTAAGTCTGGTGACATTTCACCGGCTCATCTCAGGGATTTCGGCGAGCACCATTTGCCGGTTCACCCTATCATTGATCCGCCCACTCTACTATTCAGAACAGTTACAGGAGTCGGACACGAGGGAATTGCTCTGTCTGGTCTTCCTCGACATCACCGAGTCTCTTTTCCGAGCTAGGATTCCCGTGATCCAGTATCGCGTGCGTGATCCGTACCTAGTAAACCACCATGCGGGCCTGTGCGGATCGCTTCTACCCCTTCTCTATCGTGTCTGTCTTCTTGGGGCCTCCATCAGGAGAGGCTCTCAACTCACTGTCTCTCCCGATTGCTTCGACAATCTTCGTGAGGAGATTATCGCATGGGCGCCTAGTGTGTCAGTTGCAACGACCGAGCGCTTCTCGGAGGAGGAGATGCTCCTCCTCCTTACACAGGGTAATCTCCATCGCAGTGCGACCCTTCTCATCTTGCACCGGCTGCGATTCCCTTTTGGAGAGCGAGATGATGAAGCCGAGCTCCTTTCCCGGACAATTATTAGGGAGATGCAGCATTGTCTAGCGATGACCAAACAACATCCTCCCAACATATCATTGGTTCTGCTCGTTGCCGGAGCTGAGGTCCAGGACTCTGTTGGCCGGGAAAATATCATTTCGTTGCTGCAGAGCATCAATGGCTCAAGCTTCTACCCCTTTGTGGCGAATCTCCGGCTATTCCTCAGTCGCGTCTGGACCAGCCGGGACGAGGGAACCACACGCTATCTGTTCCACCTATTCGATAAGGATGATAACCTCAGTATCCCTCTGTGATTGCCGGGATAAGCTCACTATCATCATTTGATCGCGATGTATCAAAGGTGTATCGGTATGTATGGCCTGCCCGAAAAGCGTGTAATTTACCAATTCACCGGCTGGTTCCGGCCCGCTATTGGCTCCTGATCGACTAGCCATTCGTACCAACTCGTATGCCTCCCTTAAACTTCAAGCCCCCGCTCTACCAGAAAGGAGAAGAGGCTAAACTCTCCAGACAATTGATAGCGTTGCGGCAAGCATAAAGCCTCCAGTATGCCCGCATCCTATATTCAAGGTGTATACAGTGGTCGGTTTTTGTCTTGCCCACAATGTCGAGTCCAGACTCCAGTGAAGTGTTTCCTCCGGGGACAATCAAACTTGAAGAACGTATGTTGGTTGCCCTTGGTAGCAGGCACTGCCAGGTGTAGATAGAGTCTCACACTTACCATTATAGGGCAAGGACTAGAGTCAGAATTCAAGCTGAGTCCCACGCCCTCCGATGATCCTGACGACCCTTTGGTATTGAAACCCACTTCCCCATGCTTCTGCAGCTAACGAAAGATGCAGAACTGGTCACCCTTAAGGAAGGCTGTCAACTTTGGGCTTACCTGCTCGTATGTCCTCTTTACCTTTGTACTGGTGGATATCAACAGCTTGGCCTATCGAGGCTACATGTCAGAGCTGGGTTTGACCTACGCAACCTTCAATCAGGCGAGTGGGTCGAATTTCGCCGGACTCGCGATCGGATGCCTCTTATTTATCCCCTATGTTCACAAGTTTGGTCGTCGTCCCATCTACTTGCTCGGTGCAATTGTGCAGTTTGCATGTGCGATCTGGTGGGCAAATTTCCACCAGGCAGGGGAACTCATTGGCGTCAGTTTGCTGGCGGGACTTGCTGGCTCTATCAGTGAGGCTGTGGTCGTGATCACTATTGTGGACCTCTTCTTTGTCCATCAGCATGCGCGTATGAATGGCATCTTTCTGTTCATGCAGAGCTTGGGATCCACGGGTGGCCCGATCGCAGCCGGGTATATTGTCGTCTCGATGGGCTGGCGCTGGATGTGGTGGATGATCGCCATCTTCCTGGGCGTCAACTTAATCTTGGTCCTGTTCTTCTTCGAGGAGTCGAAATACATCCCGCTCGTTGTTGGCCATTCTCCGCCCTCTGATATTGGCCAACAAAGTGCATTGGAATATGACGATGACGAGAAGATTGCGGAACCGTCTACCCTCCGAGTGGCTACGCGTTCAACGGTCGATGTCCGTCGCAGCCGCAAGTCAATTCGGCAACGCCTGGCGTTCGTCACCAAGACGGACATGCCAGTAGTCCAGCACTTTTATCAGCCGCTACTTATTCTCTTCTCATTCCCCGCCGTAGCTTACACGGCCATCACATACGGCACGATCCTGGCATGGTTTTCTGCTAATGCTTCATCCGGCTCTTACTTCCTCTTAGATGAACCCTACAAGTTTAGCCCGTCCGCGATTGGCCTGTTCCACCTAGGTGGCTTTCTGGGCACATTCATCGCAACTCTCACTATTCCGGCCCTTAACGACTGGTTCATCGTTCGAGCAGCGAAGAACAATGGGGGCATCTTCGAGCCAGAGATGCGTCTCTGGATGAGCATTCCAGGGGCTCTCTTGAACTGCGCCGGTCTGCTGATTTATGGTATTGGGCTGGGAAGAGTAGGATTTCTGTCTCCTCTCACACGCTCTATTTCTCTAGGTGGCTAACAACACGTATAGGGTGTGCATTGGGCGGTGCTCGCCGTGGGTCAAGGAATTTATGGATTCGGTTTTATCACCACTGCCGACGTGGCCCTGACGTATCTTACTGATTGCTATCCCGATGTGAGTGCACCACAACGACATGCGTGCAGGAGACCGTAAAGCTCATTCCGTGTCTAGATACTTGGTGATGCGTTGATTGCCATTGTGTTTATTCGTAATGGATTTGCAATGGTAGTTCGCTTTGCCTTCACCCCTTGGATCAATGGCATGGGAATCCAAAATACCTTTATTCTCATTGGCATGCTGGCCCTTATCACCGTGACTTTGCCTATTTTATTAATGATTTATGGCAAGAGGGCACGCGCAAGCACGGCCGATAAGTACCGGAAATATGCTGCACGGCAACCAGTCCATAAGAAAGCGTGAGTAGAGTTGTTAACCGGACGGGTAAGGGCGAGTTCTCCAGAGGTTCAATTGAGTACCTAGATTAGCTCAAAAACTTTACAAATGGGTAATTAAAGAACTCAGTGAAGATGAAGCAGACGCTGGTCTACTCTACTATAGAAGAATTACATCGGGTTCTCTATATCATCTGGTCCTTCTAGTTGGTGGTGTATCGTGTACAAATTCCCGTAGGATTGAATTTGGAGAGGGTCCAAGGACCTTCTAACTAAGCGATATCAGAATCCACCTCGGGATTTTCTTCACACTAAATCTCCCCGCACAGACACCAACTCCACCACGGTACCAGACAGCAAGCAAGTCATGGTCGGGGTCCCAGGAAGAAGCAAAGGTTGCAAGACCTGTCGTCAACGACGGGTCAAATGCGGTTGGTCTCACTGCCCTAGTTGTGCTACCGGATCTAACACTGATTCAACATTGAAGACGAGGCAAAGCCGTACTGCGCTCGGTGCACCAAAGGAGGGTACCAATGCGATGGCTACGTCGAATTTGTTGAGTTTCACGACGAGACTAAGCGATTTCCGCAGAATTGGTCCAGGGCTCCGACATCCCTCGTCAGATCGACATCAAATCGTGCGGAAACCAACATTCCTCTACGGATTGTCACTCCCACCAGGGACGATGACAACATCTTTACCACACATCTCGTCCACAAGATATTCAACCAACGCGATGCCGAGGCTGTGCATCTGGCATCCACCATCTCGTTCCATCTGAATCAACCAGACGGAAACACAGCGACCGACAAATCACTAGCCCTGTCAAAAACCTCCCTCCGGGCACTCTCGACAACTTACTTTGGCCAAGTGCAGAACCACCCTGATCTCCTCCACAGGGGATCGAAATGGTATTCCGACGCATTGATGGAGTTGCAACTCCAGCTCTGCCATCCAGAATACGTGCTCAGAGAAGATTTGCTGGTGGTGATTATCTATCTAGCCATGTATGAGTCTATTGCATTCACCGTCCCGAATGCCTGGTTTCAGCATTACACCGGCCTGGCACGGTTGACTGCCTTCCGCGGGCCCGAGAGACATATGCACGGGGTGGGGTTTGCGTTGTACCCAACCTTGAGGCAAAACATTGTATGTTATCCTCGGATATAGTAGAGGTGGATTGGCTGGCTGACTAGGAGGTAGGTTATAGGGTATATTGCGAATCGCAAGCGATGTTTTCTGGAAGAGCCAGGATGGAAGACGATTCCGTGGGCGGACAAGCCAGAAACCAAGACGTTGACCGATTGTCTGCATGATATCATGTGCGACGCTCCCGGTCTTTTGGAGGCTGTTGATTCATTCCTGACAGGAGGGAATGAAACGGCGAGACCTGGACTGTGCCGGAAGGCTCTAGCGATGCTGGACGAGCTGTATATCTGGCGCTGGAAATGGCAGCATACATTCCCTAATGCTTCCTATATCGTTTCTTCAGATGTGAATATGCAAAAATCTACATCTACATCGGCCCCCCGCCCATTCAAAACTATCCTCTGGTTTCATGATTTCTCCCGCGCACAGGAGCTGTGCCTTTATAACTCGATTCTGTTGTTAGTTCTGAGGATGTGCGAGTTTCTTCATTGCCATCCCGACCCCGTTTCGAAACAAAGCATCAATGACCCTCTACTCCCCAGGGAAGGGACAAAACGGGCGATTGCGATGGAGATCCTCCGGATGGTGGATTACCATCTTGACTTTCTCCAAGGGAGTGTGGGGGCGCTGATGCTCATTTTTCCGTTGAACGTGGCACGGCGAAATCTGGAGTTGGATTCTGATATTGCATGGTTGGATCAGGCCATGGCGCAGATTGCTGATACGCATGGATTCGAAATGGGTCGGGCTCATAATGTACAGTACAAAACCGAGTAGGACTTGATCCCCTTCTCTCGTTCCATTGCAGTTTCTTATCAAGTCTACCTTCCGACTCCCTCGGTAAATCTTTCTGAACTTTCCACACACGCTAAGTGCGGGGTCAGGAAGAGAATACAGACTAAAATTTCAGAATAAAATCACCTCTCGAACCACCGACTCATAAACCCTTCGATTGATATTCCCAGCTCGAACCAATGCCTTACCCCCATCTTGTCTTTGGTGGAGGCTACATCGGCACCACCGAAACATTCAATACCCCGCAGTCCATCAACGATGCCTTGGGCATTGTGAACGAGTACAAATGTACCGAAAGCATCATGCAGATTGATACTGCGCATATGTATTATGGTGGCGAAGAATTACTTGGACAAACCCAGGCGAGTCATAACTTTATTATCGATACAAAGCTGACCGGTGGGTTTGACCCGGGCTCGCTATCTCGAGAGCGGGTGATGAGCGATGTAAATAAATCATTGGAACAGCTACAGGTGAAGAAACTGGGGATTCTCTACCTTCACGCCCCGGATGATACCATCCCAATTGCTGAAACTCTCTCAGCAGTGAATGAGCTACACAACCAAGGCAAATTTACGCGATTCGGCCTATCAAACTATGCCCCATCCCAAGTTGAAATGGTTTACACCCATTGCCAAACACATGGCTACATACTCCCAAGCGTGTATCAGGCGAACTATTCGGCAGTCTCCCGCAAACCAGAGAGGGTACTCTTCCCCCTCCTCCGTAACCTGTCTATGTCAATCTACGTCTACTCACCTCTCTCGGGAGGGTTTCTGTCCAAAACCCGCGATCAAATCATGGCCGCCACGGGTAGATTTGACGATACAACTTTCCGGGGTGGGATATACGTGCACATGTACCGCAAACCCATCTACCTCGACGCGTTGGACGAGTGGAATGATATCGCCCAGTCGGCGGGGTGTAGTAAAGCGGATCTGGCGTATCGGTGGGTGCGGTATCATTCTTTTCTGCGTGGCGAGTGTGGCGATGCTGTGTTGTTTGCGACGAGCAGTCTGGAGCAGCTGAGAATGACGATGAAGGGATTTAAAGCTGGGCCGTTGGGTGAGGATATCGTTCACCGGGTGAACAGATTGTGGGGGACTTTGGAAGCCCATGCGCCGGGGGATACGTTTGAGGCGTTCCAGAGCATGCTTTCTGCTAGGCAGGCATGAGCATAATTAACGGCCACCACTATTTGATAGTGGAATAACAACATAACACGGTCTATCGAAGAGATACGTACACGTCAGACTCGCTTACCCGAAGGTGGGCATATAATATCGGGACTACGGGTCACTGGAGGCATTCATCTTCCTCTAATATCTTCTGGCCCCCACCCTAGCAGAGCCTGATTTTGAGTGGAGTGTCGCTTAGTTGAGGGATTTAATTTAGGGCTTATCAATGTCATTGATAGCTTGAGCTTGCAAAAAGCTTGTTGGCTCCAAATGGGTTCGGAAGTAGAAAAAACAAGCATCCCAAGACATGGAACACTAACCTGTTTAGGTGGATTCCGCGAGATGGCTTTTGCAGATCAGTGGCTATGCAGCCAATCCAGTCTGATACTCACATAGCTAAGCATTCTTGTGATGCATCGGTATAGGGCCGAGTCAACCGAACTTAGAACAAATTGGGCATTGCATACCGTGCTATCCTGAATACTATGGTCGGTAGATCTCGGTCGTCCGGGTTTGTTGGCCATTTCCATCTTTACCGGGGCTATGCGACCGAGTTACCCATCCATAGGGAGTAAAGCTCTATATAAACCCTTCACGGCGCCTTTTCTTCATCTTCAGGATCAACATCACTCACTCTCACCCATCCACTCGACTCTGATACTATCACAATGTATCTCCATCTCCTCCCTCTCGCTTTAACCGTCCTCCCCTCCTGGTCCCTTCCAACAAAGGACAAAGCATCTGCTGTCCCCGGTGAATCCAGCCTCTTCACCACCTACCAGGGAAAACAGATGCCCCTGGCCAGCAACTACACGAGGGCCATCCTGCCAACCAGCCCTGGCCCACTGCAGGGAGACGATCTCCTCTTTCAAAATCTCCTCGCCGCAGAATGGGCCATCTACTCCTTCTACCAACAAGGTGTGGAAGCCTTCACGTCAGACAGCTTTACCAAGCTCGGTCTCCTGAATACCACCTACGAACGCCTCGTGGAAATCCGCGACAACGAAGCAGGCCATATTCGCATCTTCCAGAACGAGATTTCCAACGCATCAGCGAAACCGGGCCCGTGCACCTACAACTATGGCTTCGCCGGGAGTGCCCAGGTGTACCTAGCCCTTCAAGTGTACCTTGAAGTCTCCAGCATGGCATTTCTTACGGGCCTTGTGCGACAGGCCGAGGCCGACGACTCCAAATCCGCCCTCATGGCGATCGGTCAGATCGAAAGTCGTCACAATGCCTGGTCATTGATCGATATCTACGATGTCACCCCCTTCTCCGGCCCCTCGGATACGATATACCCCTACCCGAACCACATTCTGGAATTGACCAACAACTTCGTGGTCAATGGGTCGTGTCCGAGTGTCAACCCGGTGTATCCGAACCCACGTCCGCAACTGCCCACGACCAACTATGTGAAAAACGGGACGACGGCGACGCCCGGAGCCAAGCTTCAGCTTGTTTTTGAGTTCAGCTTGACCCCCGCGACTCATATTCCTTGGTTTGAGGAGAAGGACTATTGGGCGGTGTTCTATCATGGAGTGAATAAGGTCAGTGTACCGTTTAACCCGAAGACCAACACAACGGTGATCCCCGCGAACTTTGATGTGCGGGCTGGCCTTATCATCTTAGTGATTGCGGACGAGTACGATGCACCCACCGAGGAGAGTGTCGTGAGCTTGCCATTGATCTTGATCGAGCAGCCATCCGAGTTGACTTTGGATTTTGGCGAAGTATAGTCTTGTTTTGTCTTAGATGTGGACATAGCACTAGTGCTCTTGATAGGTTGAATTGATTCTTATCCGGGTATATTCTCATACCGTATTTCGTAATGCATCTTGTGCGAGGTGCAAATTACTGGCAGAGATCATATCGACTTTTGTGACATCCACCCGAAAAAGAGAGAAAAAAAAAAAAAACCCCCCCGTTTCCTATTATACTAATTGCCGTCTTTAGGCGGTAAGGAGCCGCTAATTGAGATAAATAACCTGACCAGGAAACGCTTCTTACAAATTGATAATAATAATAAGGAAACACATTTTCTAGATAGCTCAAAGGAAGGATTATATCCGAGAGAAGATTACCCGAACTTTTCGCTGACTTTCCCGGAGTCCCGACTATTTCGTGGCCACTGGAAGCCTTTGAGTACATGGCAGAAAGATAACTGACCTCCAAGGCTGAAATAAATCCAGCAAACTGAATTTGGGGGCCTTGTGGAGTATTAGGAAATCCACGTAAGAGGATATGGGGCTTCAGCGGGTGGATAACAAGGGAGGGATTGGCTCCTTCGTGTATATTGTGGGGAATCAATGCAATGTGCTCTGTCTTATGGTCGTGACATTATGCGCATGTGTGGCTTTGATGTTGGGAACCGGAGGATTACTTTACTCTGGAGTATTCGGCTCGCAAAGTGGGTACGCAACTATCGACGCATTGACCAAAACAAGAGAATGACTGTATCCAATTGGCGACGTCGTTTGCCAGATGGTGGATCTTGCTGCGCCGCCTGCTTGGGGAACTTTCCATGCTTAGTTCCATGGACCAGAGCTACTAGAATTGACAATGGTAGGACTCATTTTCGTTGTACTTAGCAGAGCCACTGTCGATAATTACAATCCAGGAAGGTTACTGGCCAAGACGCCAATATCTGCCAAACGCGGTTCCCAAGGCCTTTGTGGGCGACAAGATTCTCAGTGGTCCGAGAGAACTATAGAGTACTATGTACAGTACCAATTCATTCCATGCCGTTTCAATGTCTCTAAGCGTTTCTCAGCGAAACGGTCTTATCCGTGCCTCTCGCTGATTGAAACCGAATCCCTCAGGTGCGCAGGTACCACCGTAGCAACTGTCCTCCCCAGGTCACACGTGTTCGACAACGACGGGCAGAGAAAAGCTTGCCACAAGAGAGCTACTACATTGAACGTGAGTAGACTTCGGCCTGGTAAGATCTGTCGCCATACATCTCGCTTTCGAGCAGGGCCCTGTGATTATGTCAGCAAGCATCGCGTGGTGTTTTGTTCTTGCATAACATAACATAAAAATAATCCGTGCATTACCGGGTTATCTTGTAAGCAACCAAAACAGAACAGTTAAAATAACTATACATGATACATCCTAGGCTCAATCAGTCGTTGAACAAAGGTCTCAATTGAGGAGCAATAGATTGTGAGGACTTATTCATCATCATCCACATCAAACTGCGGACAGCGTAGATTTAAAATGATCATTCGGACCGCTTAATCCGAAAGGGCTCGTACCCATATATATATATCAGCGACGATCAAACACCAACTCCCCTCTTCCACCTTCCCTTGTCATTTCCCTTGCACGTGGCCTCAGCATATACCGATGCCACCTCTTCATAGTCTTTAAAAGACACAAAGCACCACAAAAAGAATCACTTCAATGTTCCTGCCAGACGGAGTGCTACGTACGACGTGGACCCACATGGGACCCGCCGCGGGAATTTTTCATATCAAGCGGAAGTACGGAGTAGATGTCGGCGAGAATCCGGATGGCCCAGGTCTCCCCTTCTCTGGACGACTTGAAATTAAGAATAGTTGTTATATTAGCTATGACGTGGTGGCCCTTTCCCTCAGGGTTGCCACGGTGTTGTTGGTATTTCTTTCCACCCGACGCAAATCCATACTACTGCCCTCTATGATCGCTATATCCCCCCCTTCGAAACGTAACCCAAATGAATATCGTAACCTTTTACCTTTATTCGCTGATCATAAAACCATTCCAATCATTAGGGATCCTTTTCAACCCTATTTCACCTCGGCATAGACCTCCAACGCATCATGCAACCGCCCAAAAATTCCGTCATGCCAACTGCTCACCTCCTTCCATTCACTTTCCGGTAGGGTTGCGTGCATCATGCGTAGCCACGCACCGACGGTGAAGTCTGCATAACTCGCCCTCGTGCCGAGGAGAAAGGGCCCACTTGTGTCCCTCAAGAAGAGCTTGGCCAGACCACCCAGCGTATCTCGGAACGACTCCATCACCTTCTCTCGCGCCTCGCCCACCAACGCAAAATCCTCCCAGCATGTCACCCCCGCGCGCCGGACGAATTCCGCCCGAGTAGCTTCGACCGTCGCGGGATCGAACGGGAAGCCATGCACCGCCAGCTGGGTGTGTGCGGTAAAGGCGGCGTCGACGTTCATATTGAACTTGGCGTATTCGGGAAATTGACTGTCGCGACACTCCGAGAGCGGGATCAGGATCATCGGATGCTTGAAGTCGTAGTCGAGCGTCTGCGGCGGGAAGAGATCGCCGGCGCCCGAGTTCGGATACGTGTTCTGGAGGTAGACGGCAATATCGAAGGAGTCGCCGACCGACGCATTCGTCGCGGGGTCTTCGATGATCGGCAGGGTAAAGAAGTCGGTGCCATCGGCAAATTTGCGACAGGCCGGGACGTTGAGATTGCGGCGGACCTTTTCAATGTCGGGCAACGGCACCCAGGTGGTCGAGTAGGAGAGACCTTTGAAATTGAGTGCTAGTCGGGATTTCCAGGGGTTTGGCGAGCAGCAGCTTTTCTCCCGCGGGGGACGCATGGCGATGTCATAGAAGACGATCGGTTTGGATAAGCTCGTCATGGTGAATGAATGAAACTATTCTTTTTTATGCAGGATAGATGGTGTCCTGGAGGCGGAAAACAAATGGTATTTATCACTTGGTCCAGGATTGCATTGCATTGCATTGAATTGAATGGAAAGGAATGGCTGTGGGGTAAAATCCAAGTGATTCACCTTGACTCATGAGGCCTCATGCTGACTGGACAATGAAATCCAGTGGGTCTCCACTTTTTACGGTCATTCCTGAGCTTCTGACGTAATTAGTGTATGTACTGGACATACCCGGCTGCCTCGCTGCCTCAGGCTGCACCATGCGTCCGGGCAGATTGGGTTGGCGTGATGAGCCAAAGCCAGTATGAAAGCAGGGAAGAGTGTGGGTGATGCCACCATTTTCCTGATACCCTGTGCTTTTGTCGGTGTAATCCCCCTCTGGAAAGTCGTTGTAACCAAAGAGAAGGCTCCTTGAACGGCAGCTACGATTTCCAGTTTGACCTTTGGTTCAGCACGACTTGAACTTGTAGATTCTCCTACCGATTGGCTCATAGTCTGCCCCATATTCACTAATTCAAAGGATTTTCCTATCCGTGGACGATTTTACTACTGAGTGATTGATCTGTCGCGAGGCTTGAGCCCCCTAGTTTGGCCTCCTTTGGTCCTCGCTCAGGCAATGGAATGATATTGTCTTCTCGATCCATATATTTATATATTTGTTGGTCTGGACTGCACCAGCTGCTCTATTTCAAAGCTCGTCGAGCGTCTGCCGCTTTTCCAACAGCACGGGTTGTGAGTTAAAGGCAAGGTTAATATGATTCAATCAAGGACCATTTTGACGGATAGGGGTCAAATGCACTCTCAGAGGACCCCTTCGCCACATCACAATGTTTTTCTGCTGAATCCAGTCTTGCGAATCGTCTGATAGCTTCATGTCAAAGTTGAAGATCAGGAGGGCTAAAACCAGGCGCATTTCGCTATATGCGAGACTAAAAGAAAATCGGTCAGTGATCCTCCTTCACTTGAGAAAAGTAAGCTACTTACTTGCGACCGAGACAACTTCTGGGGCCAATATGAAACGGTTGGAGGGTGTTGCGTTGATCATTCAAGAACCGGGAGTCCCAGAGGAATCGTTCCGGGTGGAAAGTATGTGGATCTGTGAAATACTCTTCACGCCGATATAGAGCCCAATGGTGAATGGAAACATACGTCTACAGAGCCAATATTAGCGATCAACGTAGCGAAAGACCGTATGGCAAATACTCTTCCTGGAATCCAAGCTCCTAATATCTCCGCTCCGCCCTTCGGAGTGACCCGGGGAGGGCCAATAGCACCAGGGGGATACATCCGCAATGCCTCGTCCAGACAAGCCAGCATATACGGTAATCTCGCAACAGACCCGAGGTTGATATCCCCCTCGCTGTTGAACGTCGAGCGTACTTCCTTTGTGAGCGTCCGGTAGGCTTCTGGGTTTGTGAGAAGTAGATAAGTGACCCCGGAGAGCAACGTAGCCGTCGTCTCGGAGCCGGCGATCACCAAAGTTTCAGCATTGGCGGTGAGTTTGTCGATGGTCAACTCCTGGATTAGTTAGTAGGGACACCGAACCATCTAGTGGAGTGTGTACCAGCTCGTCCTTCTTCTTCAAAAGCCCTTCGATCAGGTCAGGTCGCTCCTCTGAAATTGCCACCCGACGAAGCATCTTTTCCCGTGTGAGATCGGTGAGACGATCACGCCTATCACGTACAGACCGGGGTATCCAGGCTAGCACGACTTGTTTGAGTAGGGGCATGAATGAGAGGGCCTGCAGAGCAGCGGCAAAAGGGAGGGCCAGAAATATACTTTCAATCCACTCGTGGTAGCTGGAGTCCTGCAAGCAGCCAAATGGTTCACCGAATGAGAGGTCGCCGATGATATCAAAGGTGGTATAGTTGAACCAGGCCGAAAGATCCACGGCGTCTTCTCCGCAACCAATTTCAAGCAGCCGCTGCAGCAACAGATCAACATACCCCCGGATCATGGGTTCCTGGTCTCTCATCCCTTTGTCTGAGAAGCTGTGAGCCAATTGCCGACGCAGACGACTGTGCTCTTGGCGACTCTCATTGAAAATATTGGGTGGGTCATATTCCAGAGGTCGGTAGAACCAACTCGCCTTTTCTAGATACAAGCCTCCCTTGCTGTGGCCCAAAATGTCCTTCCATGCGTCCGGATGGGAGAAGGCTAGCTCGTCGGGGGCGATGCGCACAATGTCACCGTAGCGTTTGTGGAGGTCGAGCATATCAAAGGGAAGAGTGCCCTTGAACACGCGGATGAAGTACGGGACGCGTGAGACGGCATGGGATAACGGACCAGGATATCTGGCTAGTGGATGGAAAAATAGATTATAGACCGCGTTGCTCACAAGGTAAAAAGTTACCTGTTTCGATGAGAGGAGAACCGCACAAGGTGTATAGGGTAAACATACAGCTGCCGCACATGCCACCGCCCATGATATGGCGTTCTTGGAGACATCGATACTGTTCAATATCATATTATCGTAATACTCTGGACTCGGGAGGATATGAGTTTTAGAAGAGATAGGAAATGCGCGATTCACTGCTATCCTGTAAGTCCAGTCCACAGTCCGAATGGTTATAGCAGTGACGACAAAGGATCTAATTATGACTGATCGGTTACCTCCACGGATTAAATAACGTAGGTGGAAAGCTGAAAGGCGAACATTCACGTCGCCCTGCATCTCACGCGCTTCAACCGTGGTTATCCCCAAGCAGATTCTTACCTGAACCATAGATTTATGGATTAAAAAGGGTACATTTGATGCAACTTTGGGTTTCAAAACATTCTTCTCTATGGATTCTGGTAGTTCAGATTCCCCGGTTGCTCTCTGTAGATATGGATTTATGTCCGAAGGAACACAATATGGGTACGGACGGCACATCTCAGGCAAATTAAAATGCGGCTCATCATAAGGATTGAGTTGATTGAATGCCACTTACCAGATAATACAGCATGTTACTATGTCCAACTGCTGAGTATGTAAATTTACGCTTCTGTTTGTACCCTGTGTGTGCTGAACTTTCGTCTCGCCATGATCCGCAAATCCGCCAGCAGCCGTACAGTTCCATCGCGAATGCCGTGGATGAGAAGAAATCTTCTCCGCATGCGGCAAAGACGCTCATTACCGCACAAAGTTTATTTGATACAAAGGTCTAGATTTAATAAACTTTGTAGTTTAAGTGGTTTATTTATTTATTTAATTTATTTATTTTTGACTTTTGATCTGGCAGGTGTACGAGTCCCTGACACCTATCATTCTGGCAGGAAAAAGAACGTCCCTGAATGCTTATTGCAAGCGACATCCTATCTTAATACAACATAAGAATTCAATTGCACTCGTATCCAGATATTTCTTGCTGATCTGTACAGAGGCATGGACTTATGGTTTAGTGAAGTAGAATTCCTTGGGCCGAATACATTCATTCCTAAGAGATCGTCAGCCAGCCATGAACTCCAGGGTGGTATTTGGTATGCATCCAAGGGACAAGGCTACCCAATCGATTAATTGCAACATCGCTCGGGCCATTCTCTTCCGTACATACCTTTATAGCAAACCTCCGATATAGGCAAGGGTTTGAGCCGGCCGCCTACCTTGCTTATATCGGGTATATGGCCTATATCAGGGTTGCTTAAATACGGGGTTTACTGTACTTGGTATGGTTGCTCCAATACCTCCATCCTGAAACATAATATTAGGTCAACATTAGATCATTGACATGTACAATGCTTAGGGTAAAGCTTGCGTGTAGTAATTTGGGTTTCCGTTTTCATATGGACACTGCAAATCTTACACGACACGACAGTCCTCAGATGCTACATTCTACTGAACCTTTGCCCCATAAGATTGAGCGTGTCCCTACACTCATTCTGGGATTCTCGACAAAAGTTCCATTGGTCTTTCCCCCTCCGAGATAGAATATACACAACATGAATCCCAAGCTCGCGTCATCCAACGACTATACGCTCAAGATCAAAAATCGCCTAAATGCCCCAGCAGATAGGGAGGACGGGAACCTCCCATTCTCGGCGTCCACCACGGATCGCGAGGCGTGGCGTCTGGTTGTCGAAAAGGATCTTGGACGTCTGAAGTGGAAATACCTCAGTTCACAAAATGAACGAGACGCTCGACCGCAGGATGTTGTTTCGCGGTTCTTCCTTGGGCTCCCTCTGGTTCGTGCATAATCTCATATCTATTCCCTCTCGTCCGTTTGTCACTGTTTGGGTACATGTTCCCTGCCTCTCGAATTGAGTACAATGCTAAGTAAATACCAGTCTGTTCCTGACTTTGAGGCAGCAAAGAGCCCATCTCAATCAATCTCCAATGGTCTCCGATTCCATAGCCGCCTCCAAGTAGCTGGACGTGGCTGCTGGGCAGATGACTTGAAATGCATTGTCTTTGTGACCCCGATGCTTATCATGTCTTGGTACATTACTGGTGCTGAGATTGACGAAGCTTATGCGATTGAGTTAGTGAATCATCTTTTCAGCATTCAGGACCCAACGGACGGTGGATTTCCAACGTACATAGGAGGGAAGACCACGCTAATGGGCACCATGTTGATCTATGTTGCTCTGCGTCTAATGGGTATACCCTCTGATGAGGAGCATCTCGTCAAAGCAAGAACATGCTTCTTGGAAATGGGCGGTGCAGCGTACCTACCTAGCTGGGCAAAGTTCTGGCTCTCTCTTCTTGGCTTGTATGGGTGGGAAGGAACTGATCCCTATCCCGTCGAAGTCTGGTATGACTCGTTCTCCCCTGCTTCCCCCCTGGTTTCTTCCGAAATGCCTTCGTATCTATTAACAATATCTCTCACCATACAAAGGCTCCTTCCTGAGTGGACACCGATTAGCCCATGGAGATGGTTCAACATCGTACGCCAAGTGTATTTGCCAATGTGCTACCTTTCCAGTAAAAGGTTCACCATTCCCTCAAACCCTCTTCTGGATGAAATCAGAGCAGAACTATTTACTGAGCCATATTATTCTCTCAAATTCGCTTCTCTACAGGGATCCGTCCTCGAGTGTGAACGTCATCAGCCGCAGAGCCGCGTTCTGCGCACAGTCAACTGGGCATTGTCCAACGTGTGGAATCCATGGTTGCGCCCAAGAGCCCTGGCTGAAAAAGCTGAGCAAAGAGCTTTGGAAATTATCAAGGCGTCAGATAACACTTTTAACGGTACTGGATTGATCAGTGTCGACTGTTTCTTGAATATGATTGTTTTCCATTGCGTGGAAGGACCCAACTCTAAGAAGCTGAAACAAAATCAAGATAGAAGTCTTGAATATCTTTGGTTCAGTCCACAAGGGATGCAAGTCCAGAGCATTCATGGTGCACACGCATGGGAGACATCTCTCGCCCTTCAAACCTTTGTAATTTCGGGGCTTTCAGACCACCCTGACCTGAGAAGTTGCACCGAAGATGCCTACAAATTCCTGCTCGAGCAACAGCTACTCGAGGACTGGCCTGATTCACCTCCGTGCCATCGGCCCAGCCGCTTAGGTGGGTGGCCGTTCACCACGAGATATAGTGGGTCAACCTGTTCAGACTGTACTGGGGAGGCATTGAAAGCAATTCTGCTTCTCGAAAGCCAGACAAACATTCCTCGACTTAGCACCGAGAAGAATATACGGCTAGCAATCGATAATTTGCTCATGATTCAAAACGAGAGTGGAGGATATAGCGCCTTCGAGCCCATTCTCAGTGGCCCGTTCCTAGAATGTCTGAATGGGACCGAGCTTTTTGCCAACGTAATGACGGAGCACGATTACACAGAATGTACTTCTTCTTGCATCACGGCACTGAGCCTGTTCAGAAAGCGTGATAGCACTTACCGAGCAGAGGAGGTGGTCCACGCTATTGACCATGGTGTTCACTTTATCCATCATAATCAACATTCTGATGGGGGGTGGCTTGCATCCTGGGGAATTGCTTACACCTACGGTGCCTTCTTCGCCATGGAGGCTCTTCACTGTGTTAATGAAACATATGAAAACCATGCAGTTGTCAAACGGGGGTGCGACTTTATCCTTGACAAGCAAAAAGAGGACGGTGGATGGGGGGAAACTATTGAGGTATGTCATTCAGCCATTACCAAAGTAAATACTTCAAGCTAAACAATGCACAGTCCATTCTCCAGAAAACCTATACCCAAGCAGAATCTTCTCATGTGGTTCAGACAGCATGGTGTTGCATGGCACTAATTTACGCTGACTATCCCGACCCCGAGCCGATCAGACGAGGAATTCAGCTTATAATGAGCCGTCAAAAGCCAAATGGTGAATGGGAACAGGAAGCAGGTGTGGGAGCGGGCATCTTCACGTGGTGAGTCATGACCCTACTGAAGGATGAGATGAGATCCTGATGATGCCTTTTACAGTCAGCTATTTTATTACAACTATATTTACTCTTTTCCTATCAGGGCCATTGCCCTGTACAGACAGAAATATGGTGACGATAAGCTTCTCTGATGCAGACAATATATCTATGCATTACTGGACCTCGTTACAGCTGGAGTAACCGAATATAATCAAACAACCTATAAAAAGTGAAATTATTATGCTTGTTTACACATAAATATCCTACTGAGTAAATTATAAATTATAGGTAAGAATCTAAGATATATTTCATGTTAGACCTAGAACCATACCATTGATAGATTAGGTTTGGGTTAGGTCCAGTTTAAATGGGTTCTTCCGTAGACTATACATTAGATTAGAACCATTCCAGGGGTTTCAGGAAGCTTTGATCTCTAGTGTTGGACGTATTTATCAAAACCCTTGTCCTTGACCGGAGCTTTCTGGCTTTCTACGAAATATGGCAACTGTAGCTTGACTGGAGGAAAGTCCTTTCCTCCATGCAAATTATTCAAAACGTCAAGTAGAGTAGGATGTGGAAGGAAGAGGTTGCATCGGAGTTACAAAATACGGATAATGCACAGAATATTGCCCAAGCTCTCAGCGCATCGCTGAAGCTGGAGGGTTGCGCCAAGAGCCCTGCTGCCTATTCAACAACTGCGGACCCTGGGCCTAAATAAGCTCGAATCTCTATCTGTCGGGATACGAAATATCCTGCCATGACCCCACCCCAGCTCGGGCTTGGATTCCCCGATCGACTCTATCTTAAATGAATCCCGTTTGACTGGTCATTATCGGGAAATTCGGGTTAGTAGTCACATCTTTGACGTAGCTTGTATTCTTTCACACCCCGACCTCGCTATGCCAACGGTATCAATTCTCTAGAGTCCCCCACACATTGCTCTCGCGATCTCTACCACCAAGCATTTTGGCAGCCTAGCAGTCGGATGCTGTGGTAATTATCTGTTGTGACTTAGTCTTCACAATCCGTCCCTCTGCATCACCGCTTTGGATTGTTGAGACGAGATACGTTACGCACTCTACCGGTATACCCGTCATCTTTAGTTCTCTTAGTACGGGGAGAAGGTAATTCATTGGTGTTGGTAGAATTTTCCATGAGTTCTAGCACCCTGCTCATCTCTCATCTCGACTGGTGACGGTCTTAAGTTGTACCGTACTGGGAGAAGCCAGAATTCCGAGATAGTTAGGGCTTGTATTAGAGCGAACTCATGTATTAATGAGATACTTTATTCCACAGGGCCGGTTCCTACAACTCTCATGATGATGAATGAGCCAGAAGGTCATGGTATGATGCCAAGCTCCCCAAGCTTGCGAATTTCGTCCCGGTTTTAGTGGTTCATTTTCTGAGAGCGTACATCAATTTCAGCACAGGTAATGGCATAATAATCCAAGCAATAGTTAGAACAGGCAACTCATACAACGTGGTAATCGCGTGAGCTCACGATTCGCTTGGTACATGTAACCTGAGAGCAATGGAATCACAAACACATTTTTTCAGGAAGGTGATAACCATGATATTGAACTTCTCAAGTGGATCCCAATCTCGGGAGCCGACTCGCAATGCCTACCGTTTTTGGGCAGCGCTTGCCGATCACCACGGAGCATCAAATAACCCGGTCTGGATCAGCTTCGCATTAACGATATCTAGTGATGTTGTTTTGGCTTGTGTGGAGCTTTCTCGGTTGTTTTTGATTATTTATCATCCCACGCAATGACCTTGTTAACTTCGAGTTTATGAATATGGACCAATATCACATGCATGGCTCATTCTGTAAATTTCGCAGTCAAGCTAATTATGTGGATCCTAGAAGAATTCAAGTAGACTCGCCTTTACAAATATGGGCCGATGGCCATGTCCTCTAATGCCTGGAATAGACCACATTATCATAAAGCAAGGCTATGGCTGATAAACCGTCATATTTCACCACTAAGGCGGGAAAATACGCCCTCGGAGCGAATCGAGGACCTCTGGCCCAGCAGCATGTAGACGGATCCCAAGTCGCACACGTGGAGCTGGCAGATGGCACCACGGTGAAGGAGAGAGGAAGGCTGCGTCGGCACTGGACTCGGTTTTGGTGCTGTTACCTGATCGGTGCCATTATCTTCCTGGCAATCTTTCTACCACTGTTGTGAGATTCACGACTATGTATCCACCCATCAAATCATAGCTAATAGGTTCAGTTTCACCGTCATCATCCAAGCGATCTCCCAGCGAGTGATTGACAACGCCTCTCTCGTCTTAGTGGAAGCTAAGATTATGCAACCCCGGCCAGAATCTGTTTTGCTCAGCATCCAAACTGCACTTAAACTTACCGTCGACGTCCCTGTACGTCTTGACCCAAACGTTCTCCACCTATTCAACAATGATCAGCCGGGGAATAGCACATATTTGAAGGTCTACAATGATGCTATTGTCATCCATGGGAACACGAGTATTGGGGTTCAGAACCAGCTAAGTCCGGTAAATCCTGACCCATGGAAGCATTACGTCCGCAGTGTGGTCTTCGAGCCACATGCTCCGTTATCTGCGTTTGGAACGACCAACATATACTTGGGAAAGCTGAAGAGTCACATCACCATGAAAAAGGACCTCCCTCAAAACAGTAAGTGTTGGCCTCAGGAGTCAGAACGAGAGAAATGGGAAAGAGGTTGAGGGTATAGGCTAAGATTGTAGCTCTCAATTCGTTCGCTGGATTTTCGATAGACGACCCCAAAATGCTTTTCCCGCCGCGAGATGACGGGGTGAATCTGGTTGCACATGCGACATTGCCTAATCCATCGGTCATGACCATAGAGATTGTATGTACTCACCGCTTGAGGCTATGAAACAGTGGCTAACGAAATAGTAGGGGACCATAACCATGGACTTAAAAAGCAAGGATCTCATCGTAGGAAACGCAACTATTAACAACCTGACGTTGCGACCTGGAAACCACTCGACGCCACTAGAGGGAGTGGTCGATATGCACACAATCATAGAGAATCTTCTGCCTCTTCTACAGGCGCAAGGAAGCTCTTTACGAGACGGATATCTTAGCCTCGATGCTGTCACACGCGAAGTGGAATATGACGGCGTGGTGATCCCATATTACACTGAAGTCATGCGTGATTTGGTCCTTTCGGCAAAGGTACCAATCAATGATTTGCTGATTAACTCGGTACAAGGGATACTTCATGATAATAGCTCCGATCTCCAATCCGTGCTGGATGACATTAGTGACCGGCATGCGGCGAAGGGAGACATCCTATCGAACATTGATATTGAGCATCAGAGGCGACATGAGGTCTTATGAGACCCACTTTAAGATAATGATGATAAGATGATATATAATAATGTTTATATCCTGTGGTCCGTATAGGTGTGTACGTTATTTAGTACAAGGTCTATTGTGTGCTGTACTCCACCGGGCCAGTGAGTGTAGGGACAACCGATAGATAAATAGTGAACCTGCATCTGATTGACTTGCTGTGGTCTTATAGAAATTTCAGCGTGAAGGGGATGTGCTGAGGATTGGGTGCTGATGGTTTACATTTCAAGTTCAACGAGTATGATGCGACTAACACTATACCCAAACATATCTCTCCTGCTTATCGACCAAATAAACTAATGGTTTCAATCTATACATAAGACGCGTAAAACGCACTACCAAGTTGAACTGTACACTGAAATCTTGGCCGAAAGGTTTCCACTCCTGAACCGGTCGTAAGCAAAGTAGGACGACCTCTAGAAGTAGGTCAACTCTTAAGGTGAACATCCTACGATGGGCATTTAAAGTCACCCTGCATTCTGTTCCTCGTTGTAATGCTATCGAGCCTCGATTGTTCTTCTTGGGTTGAGAGCTGAATGGTGGCCATGCCTGTTGCAGTCGAAGCATTTGTATTCCCTAAGAAGTCTCTCATGGCAGTTACATTTGACCGGATGTCCTTCAGACATGACACGCAGCATACTAAGGTGGCGGATCCGCTGCTTTTTGCCCCTCGTTCGCAAGGACATGGGTGCTGGATGCCATTAGTGTTTCCATTCTTACACCATTGAAGGAGCCAACAACGGTCTTCAGGCTGGCTAGAAGGACATCTCAGCCTGGCACCATCAGGCTCTGTGGACCTTATTCGGTGCCATGTCCGCCAAGGAGTCCAGCCGTGAGGTTCGGACGAAAGAGGAGATCGAAGCTGTGCTCACTTCCTCGGAAGATCAATCTCTAAAGGGTATATAGTTGCTAGAGGGTTTGCACCCTCCCCCCTGGGTCGCCATGGTCATTGTCAGTACCAGTTATACCTCCACCCGCCTCTCCTTCTCTCAAGACGCAACTAGACCGACGAGGTACCGCCGTGTCTCGCTGCCGCATCGGACAGGAATAAGAGGGCATCTGCAGAGCTTCGCACGCTAAACTGCGCATCGCTTTGCTATGAACAATCCTTGTCATTACGAATCCCCATCAAAGAGGCATTTAAGCAACACTAGCCAGGCTCTCTCGAGACGGAGGATTTTCCAGCGTAGCTACCCGCGCTCGCTTCTCTTGAGCTTTCCTCGTGCGGCTGGCCGTGTTGTAGGTGCGCGTCTTGACGTCGAAGACGCAGCACTTGCCATCTCTAAGTCCTGCAATTAGCTGATGTGATGACAGACACACAGGGGTCCGAATTTTCGCACTGAACACACGCAGCCCGGCTGACCTGTTCTTGACAATACATCGAATCTTTCGGGCTTGGCATGCACTGCAGACCTTGTAAGATCGCGTAGTAGTAACGGCACCGGAGCTCGGAACTTTCGAGTCAGCGACACCCTCTTGAGGCAGCAGCGACGACATGACGGTTGTCGGGATGTTTATGAAAATCCGGGGATTTCGGGATATTTAAGTGGATGCAGCTCGTGCGGGGTTGGCCTCCGGGTCCACTTCGGGTTTTTTCTGAGCCAGCCGGCGGAAAAGGTGCCTTTTCTGGTAATACGCAGTCAATGAGACCTGGTCAGCTTGTGTCCTATAAGTCTGGAGGGTATGGAAAAGACACAAACTGACAGTTAATCAAACCGCTAGCGTATAGAACTCCTATGAAAGAAAAAAAAGGAAAAGAAAAGAAAAGAAAGAAAGAAAGAAAGAAAGAAAGAAAGAAAGAAAGAAAGAAAGAAAGAAAGAAAGAAAGAAAGAAGGCTAATATCATGATGGACGCTCAGTCATCCGAGCTACATAATTTCCAGATCTAGGTTCTCCAGTTGCTGCATCGAGAGCGCGCCATCAATCCTGCTCTGATTTGGCAAAGAGTTGATGGCGATAGTCAGTGGTCGATTCCTCTCCTACTTTCTTCACTTGCTGCCAGTCTGGAAAGCCATCAAAGATTAGCCGAAGCAATTGTCTTGAACGAGGCCGTCAAAAGGATCACAACCGCGAAAGAATTCGGAGGGCTGGGCATTAGAGATGCTTCAGCTGCATAGTATTTCACAACCGAGTCAAATTACACCAGTTCTGTATTCATAGTAGAAGCACTGTTACTACCATTAAACGCAGAAACATATGGAATTACCTGGCCACCTCGCCGACACCATAGGGAGGCACAAAACCTATGACACTTGCGCAAAGGATATTCGCACAGCATCTTGTTGGAACAGCTACACCAGCTGAGCTACGGGCGGGTACTGTGGTTCACGTGGGGCTGGACTGCATTCTTTTATCAGAGCTATCTTGGCAGGTGGGTATATAGTATGAATGTATGAATATTGGTATGTTTGTTAGACGTGGGCTGATGGTCTAATGGCCTAATGGCAGGAAATGGCCAGGGTTTATGAAAATGACCTACGTTCCCCGGGTATCTGGCGCAATGATCGGTTCTGGCTTGTAGCAGATCATGTAGTGTATCCTGCTGCGGCTAAAATATCCAATATGCAAGATTTGATCGACCGCGCTGAGAAAGGCAAATCGGAGTTCAAGATAGCAGAGTACCAGGGTTTGAACTATACCATTATATATACCGAGTTTGTAAGAGAATGTGCGGAATCTGGGATGCAGGTCATCGGTGCGGACTCCTATATGTGCTCTGGCGGTGCTGTAGGATGTCTTGCAATTGGACTAGGAGGAATCGACGTCCTTATGGGTCTCATGTTGGGAGAGACATGGTTTAAGATCCCCGAATCGATCCTAATGGAGTTCCAAGGGTGCCCAGCGCCGGGAATCTGTGGCAAAGACGTGATCTTGCATATTTAAAAGGAACTGAAGAGAAACACAGTTGCTACAGAGCGTATTGTCGAGTTTGGTGGTGAAGATACCCAGTTCCTGTCGTGTGACGCACACTTCATGATATGTAATATGGCCACTGAGTTTGGTGCAATTTCGGGGATTTTTGTATCTGATAAGGATACCAGGGAATTTATTTCAAAGAGAAAGTTGAAGCGATATCAGAGGCACTCAATTTACTTCCGACCTGACAATGATGCACTGTACGCGGGCAAGTATATCACCGACTTGTCAATGGTAGAACCGATAATTGCACTATATACGAGTCCAGACAACGTTGTCGCTCTGTCAAAGAAATCCGGGATGCTGCTAGACGGAGTTTTCATTGGCGCGTACACGACGACAGAAGAACAGCTAGTCCTCGCAGCTCTTGTATCGAAGGTTGGATTGAAGAAGGGTCTACAACTTGTACCAGGCAAGTGCCACTATGTTCCAGGCTCCTTTCGCCAAGCTAGAATCCATGGGTGTTTTAGAACTTTATGCCAGGGCCGGATTTATAAGAGGGCCTCCGGGATTTCCTATTGTCTTGGTCTCTCTGTCGACCCTGCTGGGGAAGGAGAAACCTGGCTCAGTTCACAGAACCGCGATTTCCAGAATCGTATGGGTAATGGTAGCTATATGTCAAAACTTTTTTTCCCTTTCTCGGTGTGGAGACGTGCTGATGATGATGGGTCTCCAAGGATTGTTTGGTCATCTTTCCTCCGCTGTGGTGTGTGCGTCGTCCAGCTTCAGCATGTCGGTCACCGACCCAAGACCGTTCTTACATGAATTGGACTATAAGATCTTCGAGAATTACAAGAGCGGAAGCTCATAAACAATGGTTGCTGAGATTCATTATTTGGAGCCGACTATTACCAACTTGAAGTCGACCCAACAATCTATCCTTGTTAACATAAAAGATCGGCTACTCCAAAAGATCGTTGGTCCTGGACTTCTTCCTGTTATAAAAAGCCACATAGTGAGGCTTGAGGACTTCGTGGACACGGACGCAGTGGGCTTTAATAACTACCTACCCTCTTGGTGCTTTGGCCTTCTACTCATAGAAATGAGAACCATTGCTGACATGCAAACATGCGGTGTAGCTTACACCTGGGCCAACATTGACAAGCTGTGTGGCAGACGAGGACTTTGGGTAACATGTGCTTGAATATACTCACCCCGAATTTCGAAGTAAGGTACAAAGTGGGCAACAGGTTGTTGTAGCAGGTCATGCATTTGGTTGTGGTTCAAGTAGAGAAGTTGCAGTTTCCACGCTGAAAGACAAGTTACGTTCACGAAGCTTAAACAAAACAACACAATAAAACATAAACACCTTCGTATAGCAAGCACTGACGGTTTGCGCAATCTGAAACTAGGGGTTGGTATTGAAGCCGTGATTGCCCGTTCTTTCGCCTTTATCTTTAACAAAAACATGAGAACTCTTGGCCTTCTCAGATTTATTATCTCGGATAACACTTTCTATAAACCTTTCTCAGACAGAGATAAGATCCCAATTGATATCAAATCAGAAATCATTGTCGTGAAAGGGAAACGGTTTACCTTCGAGCTCAGCAACATTGAAAAGGAACTCATTATAAGAAAAGGAGTAGTAGAGGGCTATAAACTTCTTGAGGCAAATTTGTGGAAGCAACTGACAAGCGCAAACACACTCCCATAGAGAAACTACCAATTGGATTACTTAAGAACGAGCTGACTGGCGAGCCAAGTTAGAAATAGTAGGACAGCCTCTGCGAAGAGGGAAAGACCCGTGAGGAAAATGATACAGATGATATTACTACCTCTAGTAGTGAGCTGCCAGCAATTCTTCCCCTTCTAGGCTGGTTGCAGTCTCTTTTAGGTAACCCTACTTGAGCCGGTCGAGTGTACCTACCAGACAGCTACCATAAGTAAAGCGGACTCTATACGTATCCAGGACCCTGTTAGCAACACTATTGAGTTGGGTGTTTATTTGGTTATGTATAGGCTTGCTGTGTACTCTGCTATCAAGCTAAGGGCTTATATTATATAGATACTCTCTGATACAATAATAAAAATAAATATACATCATTGTGTCTGTCCTCATAATATATATATATATATATAGTCCCCCAGTATCGTTGATCGAAATTATATCTATAGTAATTATATAAATCGACAATCTCTTCCTGTCTGGATTAAGTAAATCCAATAGACATATATTTCTTTCTCTGTTATTATCCAGTAGTACCTGTGCCCTTATCGCTTGCCGAAGACTACCGAGATGACCGGCTCTGTTTAGTGTCCAGTGTATTTTAAAAGTATCTGGGTGTAGTCTGCTGCAAAGTCTATTTTTATGATATTGTTTAAAAGGCCCAAGGATAACGGCTCGCTTTTTTTCAGGTATATAGTTGTATATTATATTCAAGGCTTGTTGTGGGTCTGCGCAGAGGTGAAGTGATTTACTTCCTTGCGGATCTCACGGACCGTTCAATCATACCTTCTTTATTATATAACTCCTTTCGCTGGTAGAATCAGACTGTCCAATCATAGCTATTGTATCACATGTTTCTATATAACGAGCTATGGGGCTCCAATAGTGAGGGCGAGTGCCTATCTACCTATCATCAAAGCCCTTTGGAAGGTAATGAGGATGACCAGTTTATCCCGATATGGTGGGATTCGATAAAGGGTCACTTTGTTGACAGGACTTGCGAACTGGCACCAAGTAGCTAATCAGACTTTGCTAGCATCCTCATAAGCCATGTCCGAAGGCTTCGTCTCTTCATTGACCGAGTCCTTGCGATAAGCTTCAGAAACAGACATTGTACGGAGCCCAGAGCGGTAATTAGGGCTCCTCCAGGCCTTTGAAACATTTTCATAAAGCTCATTGACCTGTTCAAGGGACAGACCTTTGGTCTCATAGATCATGGTAAATGTGAAGACGAACGCAATCCAGCAGAAGCTACCCCAGATCCAGAACACATTCGACTGGGTTGGGTTGAGTGCTCCAGTGAGGTATGGCGTAATGTAAGAGAGCAGCCAATTGAAGAACCAGTTTGCTGCAGTTGTCATGGAAAGACCTTTGGCCCGAGTTTGGAGAGAGAAGATCTCTCCTGTGACAACCCAGGCGCAGGGACCGAAGGTAGATGCTTTTGTACGTGTTAGTGCGAGTTCACTGGGGCATGATCGAGTTCACTCTACCGAAGAAAGAGATGTATATGCAAATGAAAGCAAACTGGGCGCATTGCGACGTAAAATTTGAAGTCGGGGTTGCGGCGCCACAGGCCGAAACAATATATTGCGAGACGCCCATACCGAGTGCTCCCGTCAGTAGAACAGGTCGTCGTCCGAAGCGGTCAATTGCCCAAAGTCCAGGAAGTGTCATGACCACGTTAACGGAGTTGACAATCACCTGCAGGATAAAGGAGTCGGGCAGACCTTGCACATTCTCAGCAAAGTAGCCTGTCCCATAATAAATGATGAAATTGATTCCCACCAGCTGCTGAAGTGACTGAAGTATAATTCCTGTGATTGTACGTTTGCCAGCAGTTCCCTTGAAGCATTCAAGGTAAGAAGCAGAGCCAATGGACTTCTCATACTCCCAATTGTTCTTCAACTCTTCCATCTCGGCGAGAAGGTCAGGATCCTCAGCACTCAAGCGGCGAAGGAAAACCAAAGATCGAAGAGCTTGGGTGTCGTGGCCCTTTTTGATAAGAAAACGAGGGGTCTCGGGGAGGAATAAGAGGCCGCCGGCCTGTTTGCAGTCAATCAGTTATAGAGCCTTGCGTTGTACCTTGTCATAGGGGGAGCTTACAAGAATGAGAGCCCATGCGAATTGAATTGCAAGCGGGATACGGTAGCTTCCTATAGTTTTGTTAGCCTTGCTGTGTCATGAAGTCAAACCACCTCGACTATTGCACATACCGCTGTCAGGCCGGTGCTGCGTTGCCCAATTCACAATGGCAGCCAGAAACAGACCAATTGTGATACACAGCTGGTAAGATCCAACAACTGCGCCTCTGATCCATTTGGGCAAAGTCTCGGACTGGTACATAGGGACTGGGAACAATTAGCCATAAATTCAACGCAACTTCTGCCGATCAACACACTCTGGGCAGAAACCAGGCCAACTCCGAGACCTGCAAAAAAGCGACCAGCAATGAACAGAGGCTGCGATGAGGCGGCAGTTTGGAGGGCGACACCGAGATTGAAAGGCAACATGACCGACAGGATGATTCCCCATCGTCGCCCAGTAATATCTGCCATGATACCCGCTGCGAGTGCACCAACGAAGGTGCCAACTGACAAGATGGAAACGATTAGAGCGATGCGGCCTGCGTTCGGGTTGTCGAATTCCTCGATCCAGTAGGGCATGGTCTGGATGCCTGAGATGGTCCCAGTGTCGTAGCCATAGAGGATACCACCGAACGAGGCGAACAGCCCGACTAAGATGGCTGGCCAGGCAGCTCCCTTCTCATTGGAGGGGCGTTTGAATAACATCGCTGTCGTGTGAATGATTGGCCGCAAGATTGGCGAAAACGAGGGAAGATAGTTGGAGGTGACGGGAGGTGCAGGAGCCGCTCGCTTTAAGTATTTACGGGACACAGTGTTGTCTTATCAGCACTACAGATGGACGCTGGCGGAAAATGATCTCTTCGAGGCATTTTACGGCTCAGGCACCTCTTGGATTCGGAGAGTCGAGCCTATCGCCAAGGTAGGTGTGTGGGGGGATTGCGCACTCCAGCCCGCGACAAGAGCGCCAATGACTCCTCGAATGTTCTTTGCCCATCTTCTTTGAGATCTAAACACTGAACATGATGGTGGAGAATCCTGGCAGAGGAGAACCTCGTTACCAGCATGTGTCAACATATTCTCTATATTTCAGGGCATGAAAGTGCCATCCAACGTTCGTTGCCAAGGTTCCAGGATGCAACGCCACTCGCGATCTAAATTCTCCTGACCAATCGGAAACTCTACTGGCTTATATCCGTGGGTCGCCAAGCTTCCCCATGGGTCTCCGCAAAGGCAAAAGGTTTCCAAGCCCCGCGAATCCGCCAACTAGACGAGGCGTACTTTGCGGTTATGATTTAACGTCCAATTGCCACGCGCAAAAACTCAGTAGCCTTCCTACTATTGCTTCTTTAAGAACGACCGCTACAGTTCAATAAACCATCTACGGAACGCCACCTGCACATTGCTTACGCTGGCCATTCTAGTACTCTGGTTGAGTTCAACAGGGTATCTCAGACTTGGCAATTCATTTGCGCAGAAATTCCATGGAAAATTCCATGGCAAGTCCCGATGCACAATAGTCCACCGATGGCAACATGTACCGGCCGGGGAAAGGGGAAGCACCTGGGGAAGCGTGGGTGCTGTCTCAAGATGGGCGGGATATGGCCTCGGGCAATTATCGGCACTCTCTGCGCCCGACAGAGTAGTCCAGATTAAGTATCATGTGGAGCACGGAAGGTCCAGCGAGCTCGGCGCTACTCGAAAGGGAACTCGGTGTAGGTCCGATGCCGAGTAGACAACACCATGTCTGCGAATTCTCTCGGAAGAAAGGGACAAGAACCCGAACTTACGTTGATTGCCGATAAATTCATACGGAGCACAATGATCTCATTGAATTCTTTAGTTCCATGCGCTATTTAGAGGCGACTCGAGAAAGAGTTCGCCGCTATCGCCCATGTCGGCCAGGCATGGGCTGCATTTTATATCCCTTCTGATGGTATGGCTGGACAATTGCAGCCATGGAACAACTTTCCTTTATTATATATATTATATCTACATTTAATGATTATCTATTTCTATTTTCTTAATATATTGCTATCGATATAAATCTAATATCTGTAGATGCGTAAAGGCTCTTTGTTAGAACAAAGGCTCTTTGTCTGCAACCACGTGATTCTAGGCCAGTATAAAAGGCCTTCCTTTGTTCGTAAATTTAATAGGAATTCAAAAACCTTACCTTTTACAAGGAACTGATATTCTTCATCTTTCCACAATATCTAAAGTATAGCTTAAAATTGATATAAATTATATAGATTACAAGATTTAATACATATTCTATTTATTAATCCATAGATTTAATTTGTAGATTGAGACCATTTATCTAAAATCTGTTAAAAACTAGAATTGGGTTTAACCTAATCTACCCATCTATAGGTTATGGCGAGGCCTAATAATTAGATATTTTCAGTATTGGAGACACGCGGGAATACCAAAGTCAGAATCAATCAGCGGTACCGGATACAAGACGTTTATGTGTATCCCATATACTAGTGTATAGAAGTTGTACCCCAGTGCCGTGGGGTCCCGTAGAACAACTGTAGTCCTTTGGTTTAGCTGGTTTACTGAGTACATAGGAGTACACACAATAGCAAATAATCTATAGCGTAAATTGACTCGTATTTGACTCTGCTCGAATTTGTTCATGTCAACAAATCTGATTTCGGAAAAGTTTTCAATCTATTTTAACGGCGTAATCATCGCTCGGACAACCTTCCCTAACTCCCTAATCGTCCGAACATCCCTGGGGACGCCATGACCACCCCCATGATCAAACAGGCTCGCCTTCTCGGGGCAGCAGACATTATACAAAGCGAGCGACGTATAATAGCTGGGATCTAGAGATCCCAGAACATGAACGGTTGGCACATTAATAAACCGATCCTCATCAGCCATTGCGTCTCCCTCCTTGTCGTCAGCCAACAAGTATTTATTCTCACCAGGGATCAGAGCCGGGAACCCGTTGAAGAAGATGCCACACTTCAATTGCTGCGGCCGACCTGTTTGACGGAACCTTCTCCTCTCCTCTAGCAGGACGGTAGCCGCCATGGCCGTTCCCTCAGAGTGTCCCAATACTCCATCAAAGGGGCCTTCCTGGTCAATAAAACGAAATATTCGATCCAATGCCGCATCTGCACTGCCATCCAGTGGCTGCAGTTGATCTAGGCACAATCGAACCTTTTCTTCGGGGGTGGCGTTGTCAACTGCGCGCTCAATGGCTGCGAATCGTGCTGCTAAATTCTGAAAGTGTTGTATTGTCAAACCGCCCCGGTCGCTTTAGTCCGTACCAGAATCAACAGAAAAAAAAAAAAAAAAAGAAAAATGCTCGGTAGTCTTAAGCAGTAGGGTAAAACTTACCTTCGCGTGCGATGAATTGAACGTGCGGTTCCTGATATAAGGTTGGGGGTTGAACATTAGCATAGGATTGGATAGAGATATAGACTCCCCAAGCAGATCGGGGTAAGTGTATACATACTGGTCCATAGTGAACCAGGAACTTGGCTGGTACATCACACGGAACTTCGCCTTGTATGAAGGTAAAGGTCATAGAATTATCCGTCTCCATTTCAGCCATGAATGGCACTGTTGGTATCCATTCATTGTTAGGTAAGAAACAATGCTTTTCTTTCCTCTTTTTTCTGCAGTGAAAAGACGAAACCGAACTGTTTTAATTACCTAGGACCGATTTAAATGTCTATTTAAATATCGTCAGTACAGGATCCCCGACGCCGCTCGAGCCATGGTGTATATGGTTGTCATTTGTACACGAACTTGCCTGGGCATTAGAGCCTGCACCGGGAAAGCATAGAAACTTCATGATGCACTACCGTCTCAATACCATGTACTCCAGGAGAAGTATCGACAGTTAATAAGAGATCAATAACGGAATATGTCGAAGGCAATCGCAACCGAGTGACTTTATTGCTGTTGGTTAATGAGGAGTGTCCAAGGGTTGAAACCTAAATCCCCGGATCGGGGAACCTTACAGAACCCTAAGTATGTACATACTACTAGTAAATAACTGCAGATCCCTCTTGCTTCGGTCGATGTTCGTATTGAGCGAGAGGCGCTGATCACAATTCGTCTTTAGGTTTGTTTTGCGTGCGGAAATTAAATCCACTGCCATGTTGTGTCATATATCCTTCGCGAACGGAAAACAAAAAGATGAGGGGAAAGCATCGTAAAGTTTCTTTTGCATGGGGCATGAATAGCCGCGTGTATTATCTGTCCTTCACCGTGAGCAGAATAGAAAACGTGGGAGTAATTTTATTGGAATTATTGTGCTTGGTTCTCTTATCGTCCGATTACATTTGATCGAAAGTTTTTTATCTCCCTCGATAGAGGCCCACTGATGATATCAAATTATTTCCATTGACTTTCGTTCTTCTATAAAGCGTTTATATAAATATATTGATTCTTTTCCTTTTGTTGTGGCGTTGATTGAGTTCATTTCTCCCAAGACCAGAACTACAACTATATTTTAAGCTAGCTTACCTGGTTTCATCCTGACAACCATGATGGACTTCGACGGGGGGTCATCTCAAGATGGTTCCGCATACACGCCACAGAGCTACGAAGGTAACTTCAGCAGCCGGGAGCGCATTGCCATCGTGGGTATGTCTGCTCGGATGCCAGGGGATGTCAGTAACCCAGTTGAATTCTGGAACTTGTGCGGTCGGGCACGGAGTGGCTGGTCTGAGATTCCGCCAGAGCGCTTCTCTCCCGAGACATACTATCACCCAAACGCAGGAAACAAAGGAACTCATAATGCACGGGGAGGGCACTTCTTGAGCGAGAACGTCGCACTCTTCGATGCGCCCTTCTTCAACGTGACAACAGCCGAAGCCACGGCGATGGACCCGCAACAACGATTGTTGTTGGAAGGTACGTTCGAAGCGTTCGAGAATGCGGGCATCTCGAGATCTGAAGTCATGGGTCAGAAAATTGGTGTTTTCATGGGCGGCTATGGGCCCGACTATCAACTCTTGGGACACAAGGATACGGAAACTGTCCCTATGTACTTCGCTACAGGGACATGCAAGGGACTTATGTCTAATCGGGTTTCGTATTACTTTGATTTGAGAGGCCCCAGTGTGACAGTCGACACTGCATGTTCGTCAAGTCTCGTTGCCCTACATCTGGCTTGCCAATCTCTGCGGGCTGGAGAGTCGACTGCTGCTGTTGTTGGTGGGGTTCATTTGAATATTAGTCCGGATAGCTTCCCTACAATGTCGTCGCAGAGATACGTTTTGAAGGGTGTGGATCATAGAAGAGCTAATAACGAACAGACTCTTCTCAGAAACGGGAAAATCATACGCGTTCGACCACCGGGGTACTGGAGGCTATGGTCGTGGTGAAGACGTTGGTTGTCTGATTCTCAAGCGTCTTTCAGATGCCCTCGAGTCGAATGACCGCATTCGTGCAGTGATCGTAAATTCGGGGTATTGCCGTCCCTACAACAACCCAGAGAGCTCCAAGTTTATTCGAACTCGTGCTGATCACCTTTAAAGTACAAACCAGGATGGTCGCACCAATGGGATTACCATGCCTAACGGATCAGCTCAAGAAGACCTTATACGGTCAGTATATAGGGAAGCGAATATTTCTCCCCGAGGACGTGGGCTTCGTCGAGGCTCATGGAACTGGAACGAAAGGTATTGTAGCGCTGAACATTGACAATTTTGCTTCATCATATGCAGTTCGATTTGTTGGCTTATGATATTGAAAAGTGGGAGATCCTATTGAGGCAAAAGCCCTAGCCAATGTACTCGGCAGGGGAAGAACAGGGGACGATCCATTACTGGTAGGATCAGTAAAGACAAATGTTGGCCACCTGGAAGCGGCTAGTAGAGTGGCCTCGTTGATAAAAGCTGCAATGATGCTAGAACGAGGCTTTATCCTACCACACCGCGACTTTGAAAGGTTCCCGACCAGTATATCAACCAGTTTGAACATCAAGGTGCGAGGATGGAGTGCCCTGCATACCCTTAACCTGCGGTCGGGCTTGGTTAACCCTTTCTTAATATAGGTCCCGACACGCCAAATACCATGGCCAGCTAACAAGCGATACATTTCAATCAATAACTTTGGATTCGGAGGCGCAAATGCCCACGTAGTGTTGGAGAAGGGGTGTCGCCCAGCAGCACCAGTGGAAGAATGTGTGGATGTACCAGGATCTGACAAGCAAGAACCAAGGCGGCTCTTTGTCCTGTCTGCACACGACGAAAAGGCAGCCAGGGCAAGTATGGAAAATCTCATAGTTTACCTAGAGCGAAAGCCAGAGGCATTTGAGATTAATCTGCCTTGAAACTTGGCCTATACCCTAGGAGAGCGGCGATTTGTAATGCCATGGATGATAGCATTGACCGCGACAGAATTAAGTGACTTACCTAGACAGCTGGTAGATCGACAGTCACGCCCAGTGAGGTCTAAGCAGCCTACAGCAGTTTCCTTCCTTTTCACTGGCCAAGGGGCTCAATGGCATGCCATGGGTCGCGAGCTTCTCATGACCTACCCTGTGTTTTCCACAACATTACTGGCTACAGATGCCGTCCTGACTAAATTGGGAGCTGACTTCTCTCTTATCGGTCAGTATTGCCCATTTCAGACTGTCCTGCTGTCTGCTGGCGTGTCACCCTTACCCGTTTATTTTTACTTGATCATTTGCTATACTTAGCCTAATATTCTACCACAGAGGAGCTGTCGAAGGACGAAGAAACGACCCAGGTCAACGAGCCTCACATCAGCCAGCCAATCTGTACAGCCCTTCAAATTGCCCTGGTAGACCTGCTGCACTCATGGAATATCAAGCCCTCCGCGGTGACGGGTCACTCGAGTGGCGAAATTGCCTGTGCGTACGCTAGTAACGCCCTGTCATTGGAAGACTGCATGGCTATTGCCTATCATCGTGGTAGGACCGCTAGATGGCTGGTTGGAAACTCCACATTGCCACCGGGTGCAATGTTAGCAGTTGGTGCAGGGCCAGATGAGATAAAGGGTATTATGAGCAGCATAAGCCATGGTCGAATAGGAATTGCGTGCGTCAATAGTCCAAGTAGCGTCACCATTTCGGGTGACAGGGTTGGTATATTGCAGCTGGATCGGATCTTAGAAGGGCAAGGCATTTTCCATCGCATATTGAGGGTGAATGTCGCATACCATTCTCACCACATGCAAGCCGTGGCAGATGACTACCACGCGTCAATTGCCCACATTCGGCCCAAATATAGCTGCTCTGCAGTGCGGTTTCATTCCTCACTACGCGGCTAATTGATAAATACCCGGGTGCTTACAGCGGACTACTGGGTTAAGAACCTGACATCAACAGTTTTGTTTGCCGACAGTTTATCGGATATGTGCTCATATGAGGCCACGGCCAACGGCCCTAGTGAGATTAAATTTCGCACCACAGTCTTACTAGAAGTTGGCCACCATGCAGGTTTGGAAGGGCCAATTAAGCAGACAGTGCCAGACGGCTTTTCTGATGGCTCACTCGTGTATGCCAGCATGCTGCGCAGAACCAAGGACGCTACCGAGACCGCCCAGAAGGCCACTGGGGAACTGTTAATGCGGGGTGTCCCTATAGATATTGGGGCTATCAACCGACCAGTTATGGGGACCTCATTACCCCAGGTATTGTCAGATATGCCCCCATATCCCTTTCGACACGATACTCCGTACTGGCACAGTTCACGTGTGAGTCAGAAGTACCTATCTAAGGAAAGGCCACCTCGTAATGAGATCATTGGAGCTCTAGCGGATTATTCCAATGGTCTCACTCCAGAATGGAGACATATCTTTCAACTAGAGGATCTTCCCTGGCTGCGCGACCACAGGATATAGGGTATAGTGACTTTCCCGATGGCAGGGTTTATTACAATGGGAATTGAGGCCGCCCTGCAGTGCCGGAAGTTCGGTCTAGGTGGTTGTAAGAAGAATAGCAACAACAGAAACAACCACAACGATAACTGCAACGCTATGAATCGAGTTAACCTCCAAGACTTCGCCATCCAGAGACCCCTTGTCTTGGACGAGTATGTCGAAGTTGAAATGGTCACCAGGCTCTCCCCCTTCATGCTGGGCCCACATACATCATCGGTTACATGGAACGAATTCGTTGTCTCGTCATGGACACAGCAGCGAGGGTGGATTCAACACTGTCGAGGGCTCGTTTCTATTGAGACGGAAAGTCCTGTATCAGAAGGTTCAACAACCATCAATAAATTCGCAGAGTACCAGGATGGGAAGTCTCCCTGGGTAACCAGCCTGCGCAAAGAGAAGGTATGCAGAACCCAGACAGACTGTAAGGCCATGTATTCCTCTCTAGAGGCCATTGGAACTGGGTATGGGATGACATTGCAAGGGTTGAAGAACATCGCAATCTCAGGCGGCGGGGAGCTCACAGTTGCAGAGCTACTCGTCCCGGACACAGCAGCAACCATGCCCCAGGTGTACGAGAAGAAGTATTTGGTGCATCCGACTGTGCTTGAGACTGCCTTTCAAGCTGTCTGGCCCCTAATTGGTGCTGGTATTACTGGCTTGAACACGTTATACATGGTAACTGTAGTTAAGCAAATGTCGATTTCGTGTGGCATGCAGAGTGATGCAGGGTCTGCATTAAGAGTACTTGCATCTCCTAAATTACTATTCACACATGATGCTTCATCTGTGCAAAAACGGGATGAAGTGCAAACCGAAGCGGACACAAGTTTCTCACTTGTTGTAGCCCCCCCTAACAATCATGATCAAGCTTTGATAAGCTTAGATGGCCTAATGCTCTTGCCTGTGCACCAGAGTGAGAATCTATCCCTCGAGCAGTCAGCCCGGGGGCTCTGCTACAAAGTGGACTGGAAACCAGTACTCGAAGAGGCTGCGCTGAACAGGTCTAGTAGCAGTGCTAGCAGTGACGATACATGCTCGGAAGGGTCCAGTGGACCATCGTTTGTCTTGCTAGATCCTGTGACTATTATCTACAGACAGGAAGACCAGTTCGACATTGCCTTCAAGATATCAAAGACCTTAGAGCAACTCACAGGAAGCCCAGTCGAGCTGGAACCCTTTGGGGCCAGCGGCGATGGCGCCAACAACATGCTAATCGGTGTTATCATATTTCATATTGATATTGGGAGATCTGTTCTTGCGTCGCTGTCTGGTGAAGAATTTTGGTGGTTGAAGGACACGGCTCTGAGGGCGAGTGGACTTCTTTGGGTTTCATGCAATGCGTACGCAGGCCATCAGGACCCCAACGCCCATTTGATAACGGGCCTTGCGCGATGCATACGTTCGGAAAACGAGAAGAGGTTTGCAGTATTAGATCTGGAGGCTAAGCCAGCACACGCCCAGGGTGGCCTTTTCGAGAACGAAGTCATTCCCCATATTGACAAGGTCTTCACAAGATGTCTTTCACCCCCAGGTCAAGTCTGCTCAACACACACATCGTATGACATGGAATATCGTGTGAGAAATGGCCAGTTACAGGTTCCACGCGTGGTGTATGATTACAGGACCGACAGCTTTGTCCAGAGCGAGGCACATGGCGAGGAAATCCTGGAGATCCAGCCATTCTACTCACGCGACAAAGAATTACGCTCACCGTTGAAACTTTCCATCAGTAGTCGAGGAGCTCTCGATAGCATATATTTTATCCCAGACCCGATAGTGGGAGCACCGCTAGAAGCCAACGAGGTGGAAATCGAGATCAAAGCCACTGCCATTAATGCGAAGGATATTTCCCAAGTCATGGGTCATGCATCCAGTAGCTTCATCGGCATGGAATGTTCTGGGATCGTAACCCATGTTGGGAGTCTAGTCAGGCACTTCTCGGTCGTTGACAGGGTTTGTGCTCTCAATACGAAAGGGGCATACTCCCAGTTCACTAGGTGTAGATACACCAGTGTGTCGCATATCCCGGAGGAAATGGCGTTCGTCACTGGTGCAACGATTCCCGCAGCGTACTGTACTGCATAATACTCCTTGGTCAAGGTGGGACGACTTTCCAAAGGCGAGATAGTGTTGATACACGCGGGTGCAAGTGATATCGGACTTGCTGCAATCAAGCTCGCTCATTATATTGGCGCCGAGATTTATGTGACAGTTAAGTCCGCTATTGAAAAGCAGTTCCTGATGGACACGTTCAAGGACATCCTCACAGAAGGTCATATCCTATACCACGAAGAAGCTCTATTTGGTGCTGGTCTCCGCCAGGAGACTTCAAGCCGTGAAGGAGACGGAGGAGTCGATGTGATCCTGAACTCTTTCTGTGTGTCAGGCGACAGCCTTCGTCAGACTTGGGAATGTATTGCCCATTTTGGCCGGTTTATTGAGATTGGCAAACGCGATATCGAGGCGGATTCGTGGTTACCAATGCGCCCATTCTACTATAATACCACATTTTCCAGCGTGGACATTGCTGTGATTGCGAATGAAAAGCCCCAGTTGATGAAGCGTTTAATGTCGGACGTGTTTACGATGATACGAAATGGCATTGTTGCCCCCTTGCCGGTTGAGCATACCAAATCCATATCCGAAGTTGTAGAGGCATTTAGTCTCGTGCAATCTGGGGAGGTCATTAATAAAGTTGTTCTTTCACACGGCGAAGAGGACCAGGTTAAGATAAAGACAATATTCTCCCACTCCCTGTTCCCTCTCCTTCCTCGTTCTGATTTCTGTGCTTTTTTGCTGCCACATTACGGTTGAAAAGATGATTAATTATGATCCAACAACATATAGGCGCCCATCCCCCCCTTACCAATGACCCTTCTTCATGCGAATGCGACATACATCTTCATCGGCGGAACCGGTGGCCTTGGTCGAGAGATAACGCGATGGGTGATCTCTAAAGGGGCCCGAAATCTGCTACTTCTCTCCCGAAGTGGATCGATGGGAGAGGAGGCTGCGAGACTAATACAAGATGCCACGATAAATGGAGTGGTCGTTATGATACAGAAGTGTGACATCACAGATCAAACTCAGGTTCGTCAAGTGCTTCAGGAGCTTGTTGCTGTGAACAAACTTCCTGTTCGGGGCATCATCCAGGGATCTATGGTTTTCGATGTACGTTCATTCTGCTTGTTCTGTCCCTGTAATATGCGCTACAAGATACAGACTGGGTCTTTATATATGCATGCCTTGCTAATATCACCAGAACATGCTGTTAGAAGACATGCAATATCCATTATGGCAAAGGGTCATCGCTCCCAAAGTGGCCGGGACCTGGAACCTTCACCATGAGCTTCAAGCGGGCGGCCATGAACCTGACTTCTTCATCATGCTATCCTCGATATCTGGTATAATCGGCAGTCGTGGTCAAGCACCATACGCAGCTGCCAACGCCTTCTTGGATGAATTCGCCGCATTCCGACAGGCCCAGGGATTACCAGCCACCACCATCGATATAGCACCAGTAGTGGATGCGGGCCGGCTGGCGGAGGATAATCTTGGCGATGCGAAGATCTTTTCCAAACGGTTTGCATCCGATTCCATTTCCCAAAAGGAAGTCATGGCACTACTCGGAGCAGCGATATATGGGGACCTGCCCGCAGGTCAGTCTCAGTGTCTCACTGGGCTGAAGTTGACTAGCGAGTTAATAAAATTTCGATTCTGGGCTTACGACCCCAGATTCGAATCTCTACTTAAGGAAGCAGAGCTCTCGTTGGAGAATGATCTCGACACACATGGCGGTGCGAAGAGTTTGGATTCTGCTGTCAAAGAGGCGCAAGCTCAAGGGGAAGCACAGGCCCTGGACGTGGTGTATACCTCGTTATCTCAAAAGATCGCTGACATTCTCATGAATTCCGTAGAGGATATTCATCCCACCAGCTCCGTGGCTACCTGCGGTCTTGATTCTCTTGCTGCAGTTGAGTTCCGTAACTGGATAAGTCGCGAGCTCCATGCTCAGTTACAGATCCTGGAGATAATTACCAGTTCAAATCTTGAGGTATTATCAAGGACAGTTTTGAGTCGGAGGAAGTGAAGGATGGGACCTATCTGTTTTCCTTAATTGATCGGATACTTTTCTAACGTTTCAACAACTATAATTATAATAGAAATGCTTGAACCCACACTACCTATATATAAGATAGAAAATTAATAGTATTTAATATAAATACTATCGTTATTATAAAAAACGATTATAATAAATTATTATATTTATAGAAGTAGAAATAGAAGATTTTAATAAGATTGTATAATAATAGTCCCCCAGAATAAAAACTGCTTAGAACTACAGAAAACTATAGTACAGTCCTTAGCAATATAAGAGAAGACCAAAGACCGGACCATTCCTAGGCCTACTTACTACTAGTGAGTTTTATATATACCCAAGTACATATTGTGAAGTATCTAACTCAAATCTATTAACCATGAACTTCAAAGGCAAGATACTTCTAAATGAGTCTCGTCACTGTATCAAATTTGTGAAAGTTGACATTTCCGTACCTTGCAATTGTTGGAAAACACATGCACCCACGCGGATACTGTGCTGGTCACTAGCAGACACAGATGAAGATATATGTTGTCTCGATTCTTGATTCTCTTATTGTTCTGGCAGCATGAACCTATATAATAATGATCAGATCTAATACGTTGTATGGAGTTGCCCATTCCCGGGTATTTGGCTGTAATAATATCGGCTTTCCTCGTGTGCTGAACCTAGGAATCATCTTGACAGCAGCTACCAGGTGCATTGAAGCCGCGTTCCACCGAAATTGTAGGTTTTGCCTAAAGCTGAACCGCATATCTGAATGGCCTCTTTTACTTGCTCGAATGAAGTATCTGGCATCTTAGGGTCTTCTATTTTAACACCTTGATAATGTATTGGCGTAAAGAAGATGCTTTAGACTCAGGTGTACAACTAGCAAGTTGTATACCTATTTCTACCCAATAGTAGAGAGTGGTGTAGTGTCACGCTTGACAGCCGGCTATCAAACATTTCTCATACGTGGCTGGCCAGAGAGGTACCCTAGCTTTACCTAGTGATATAACCTACTTATTAAGCGATTTCTCATCAGTAGTACGTTTATAAATATTGACGCGTCTGTCATTTCTAAAATATCTCCTTTTGAGGAGACTGCGCTGGGTAGATTCAGATATAGTATTCTTAGCTTCCTTTACTATGCTACTAGATTGATGATATTTAATTGCGGATATAGCTAGTAGGATCCTGTCTCCATGTTCAACGCCTTATTTCGATTGTTTAGGCACTGTTGACGGTCTGATTAATGCTTTAGTTGCCTAAGGCGTCGAGGCGCGTTGGAAACGCAGGTGGTACTTGTGTGCGCACGGCCTGGCTGAATGCTTCGGAAACTACTACGGTCCTCAGGACTATATGAGATACCGCAGGCCAAGTCGTAGAACCGATTGAATATTCATTGTCCCGGCGTTCTTAGTTATTGGTCATAAGGCTTTAATGTTCATAATGGTGGTTGATTTACATGCTATATGGGGGCTTTCGCTGATGGGGTGTAATTAATATACAACCTCATATTTGAATGTCGTGATTATACATTCTGATGGTAAGAAATTGTAAGATTTTTATTACTGTACAACAGCCCAATGCTGGACAAGTCTTGTCAAATCAGTGTAATTTGTTCGGCATTGATGTAATACCCGTCCTGCGGAGAAAAGACCTTCAAACTAAATACCACTACTCAGAAGAGTAAAATACTTGAAGCGAAGGCACTGGGATATAGATTAGTTATTTGTTAGGCTAAAGCCCATGCTATCCCTGTAATTGGCGAATATCAAGGAAACAACCATATCCGAGGTCAATACACTTCAGTTCAAGCTCGGCGACATTATCTGGAACAAAGAAGCTGGCCTGTGTTAGTGCTTGTATAAATAAAGCTGTGCTCGGCGGGTTTCAAGGGTTGAGGCTTTACAATAAATAATAGACAGGTGGCAGGGTTGCTGCTGAGAGGAAGGAACTGAAATTTATCGCTCCCTTATCAGCCAGCTTCGCTTTGATTCTAGTAATATGTATGTCAGAACAGTGTATCCTCCTTGGTTTTGCTCTTAGATAAAGAGGAGAACAGTACACTGTCTCAATATCATTATCACCCTGACCAAATGACTCAAGTATAGTATATCGAACAATCCCTAGCTGGAGATATAGTTAATATTGTACTTTCGAATAATATAAAAGAGGTCTAGACTAACATATTGAAGCATTGCCTAATAGCTATAATATCTATCTCTGTAATGCCTGGTTGGTAGGCCTGCAGTTTTGTAGCTGTAACCTGCAGCCGCGTAAGGCTCGCAGTCGACTGACAGTGTGGCCAGGTTAGCGTGGTGAGCAGTATATGAGGTAGGAAGACTAATTGTAGAAGGATTAATGTGGCTTTAATTTCAGACAAGCGTCTCTGTTAAATAAGGCCCCAGACTGTTTATGGTACTACGGACAGAAACCGCCGGGTCTAGCGTATCCCATAACCACGTTTCTTTCAGCCGCTGAATATCTACAATTAGGTTCTCTCTCTAAGCCTGTGTTGTTTGAGTATGCTTATGACAAAAGGCAACTTTTGGATCCGTGGTGCAAATATTTGGGTCATTCATCAACCTTGAACCGCTAGAATAGTGTTAGTCGCTGGAGCCCCGCCTAAGCAGCCTAAGTTCTGCTCAGAACTCTCGCCCACTGAGCCATGGCTCAGGTTACCCGTACCATCTGTCTTTCGAACGACAACATTATTCATGCTCATCCGGTGTATCTATCAAGCGCCCATCTTGAAGAGAGCCTATTAAAAGCCGCCCCAAAGTTACACCGAGTGTTACCTCTCATTCACGCTAGCAGGGGCAGGGCAAACAAGGACACTCATTGGATACCAAGTACGCTGAAATTTGTTAGTCTACAGTGGTATTTGGAAAACGGAAGATATGTGTAGTTTGGTCACAGTTGGGTCCCAGCACATAGGGCATCTACCCCTAGTACCTGCGCCTATGTCTGAAAGTGCTGTAAGACTATTGATACAGTTATATGCCACTGGGGGTTTCCAAGGTGAGCTATATACATCATTGAATTTTGCCGAGAAGTGATTATGGCAATTGGACGTATATTCCTCAGTACACAGAATTTAAACAGTTGATACCTTTCTGGAGTTAGTCCATGGTGTTATTTAATTTCTCATCGCTTAGATCTGCCATTGGTTGATACTGTCGGGTGTCTGGCATTAAACCTCGTCAGGAGAATTGTACCGCCGGCAGAGGGTATCTTGTGTCCACACTGACGTCCTCTAGATGCTGAATAGGTCGATTTCAGATAATTGATGAAAGCAAAGCTTGAATGTTCTGTGATCGGATCCAGTGTGCGATCGAAAACCTGCATATACATCTATTTCTGTCACGAACCTGGCATACACGACAAATAACATTGGTATTATAACAGAAAAGAACCAGGGCCAAGCTATACTTACTACCTGGCAATCCCACCCTACGTCGAGGACACTAGTAATACCCGACCCAATATGTAAATCTCCAGACCAGATTATAGCTAGATATTATAAATATATTCTGTATTTTACCAACTAGAAAGATGTTCTCAAAGATATATAATACCCTATTAATTAGCCCGGGAAGCTTCACTGCTAATAGTAATATATAAGGGAGTATAGCGCGGGCTCGGTAGATGGAGGGTATAGATATCTCCGAGCCGAATAATACTGTGGCGGATAGTTTTCACTATAGATACAACCTTCCGTCGCTAGCACAAGTTTAAAATTGTCCCACCAGATCTAAATACAGGCTCCAGAATTCAAAACAAACTTTATAAGAACCCTCCGATATAAGCAACATCGGGTAGGATTGCCGACTAAGGGACGGTTACCACCCTTGGAAAGACCGTCAGTTATTTTACCCCTTTTCGTTTTTTTTTTTTTTTTTACAAAGAAAGATTTTCTTGTGGCAGCAGGCTAGCAGACCCACTACGCGTATTTAGCGTATTAGTCTGCTCACCTCGACCATAATTTCTAGACTTCGGCAGTATCCATGATAGGTCCAAGGTTTGGACCCCAAACCTAACCCAATCTATTACCCAGAAAGGAGTGTGTATATGCATCCAGTCGTGACTAGCACATGGCGATCAATGCCTTGGATTCGTCCGCCTTCTGCGACTACTATATTTGCTGAAAAATGGGTCTACCTCACTAAGTCCAGAGTCTATACTCACATTAATGTGCCGCACATAACTTTTATAAGCAACACCCTGATAGAAGCAACGTAGGGTGCTAGTCGATATCCGAAAGAAGAAAGAAATTTTTTCAAGACGTTTATATTGCGAATGGTTTTGAGTCATACATTATGTGGGCCTTGGCCTGATTGACAAATTCCTGTCTCCGTCGGTACTTTGCAGGAGCAAAACTAGGCCAATCAGTTGATATCATAGCAACCACTTACGAAAAATATCTACCCACTTGATCAGACAGCATTTGATTGAAGGAGCCCGCAACCGTGGTATATTCTGTTTGCCCTAGCCGAACTGGCTATATATTGAGCCTTTCAAATATCCTCGGTATCTATAAGAGATTACGTTGTTTATCAGAATTACCTGTTTATATTTATATTCCTCGATTGTTACTCAAGTATAGTCCACCCTGTATAAAACCGTTTAGTCTTTGGCAGATAGCCCGAGATATATAGTAAGGGACTGAGAAAGAATAGTAGCTTCTGCTTTTATCGGTTATCTATAATACCAGGCCCTCTTATTCGGTAATAAAGGAAACAGTTTTACCTGGTTTACTTGAACTTTGGAGCAAAGTGATACTGAACTGTAACTTACAAACTGACAGAGATATAAGCAGCTCTGTTCCTTGTAAATATTGAGCTATATCCAGATTGTTGGCCCAGCAATCTAGTATAGATTATATTATATACTTACCGTAATTACCATCAGGAAGTGATGTTAACCCAGCCATATACTATTTCAAGGTTGGTACGATGTGCTCAAGAGGTATCGTGTATACACGAACATAGATTCCATAGCTCCCTGGTTTCTTGTTTTCTGTTTTTCGTGTCTTTTTTGGGGGGAGGTTGGGGGCACGGGGGTCCGGGCGGTGGTGGGGTTGGGGGTAGGTTAGTCCATGCTGTCATTGTGGGGTCGCTGTTAGTGGCTAGCAGTGTGGACAGGAATTTTGAAAGGCTAATACAGCTATCCATGAGTCATGCTTCCGCCGATCTCTGTACCCATCAACTATCGGAACTCCAAAATCGATAAAGCGATACTTTTTTTCCGGTTCCGGAGATACAAATCATGTCTAGATCGAAGAAGACCCACTCACAATAGCTTTGTACCACTGTTGGTACTGGAAAATTCGTATTAGCCGCAGGCGCCTAGTCATGCATGTTCTCGGGAATGTATGAGATCGGCGGCAGTGGGCTGGATTGATATAGTGCTATTTGTCGAGCTCGGTCTGGTAAAATAGTTACGATGGCCTACAATAGCGTATATGATATCTAATACCAATTGCCTATAAGGTTTACACGGTCACACATACACACTTGCATAAAGTCCAGCTAGGGCACTGCATCTGTTCCTTGTATTCAGCTCACTTCATGGAAGGATAGCCATACGGCTTTCCATACAGTCAGGCTGGGCATGTCTACAAATAAACGCATCCAATGGTCTCGTTGTCTTTTTGTCGGCCACTGGGAATTATCGTGAAGTCCTACAATATCATAATCGAGTGGGCTACTGATACAGCTCGGTCATATTCAAGAGGTCATGTCTAGTTAAGTAGGGATACCAAAATTGTGATATTCCATTTGATATACGAACCCGAGTTGTGTAAGCAGCCTTAGCTTGTTTTTCTGTTCGCTCTGCTCTACCAGGTCTTGTAGTCTTCCCTCTTTTCTCCTTCACCTGCATAATAATACGGGGGTGGGCAAGTGACCTCGGTCGCGGAATGTTCATTAATAGCGGAATAGCGACAACAAATTTAATATCTAGACAACAAGGAAGATGGAATTATCTGCCCCTAGTATTTGTGGCTAGCAAAAATTCGCTACTTGTAGCATAGATATGGTATATATATATCGAATTTATATGGTTACTAGAATCTGTGATTGGGTAACAGATGTGTTGCCACTACACTCCAATTTTGGTCGGCTTAAAAGAGATAAATATATCCTGGAAGGGATGATAAGCGCACATATTGCCATAAGATTATGTCCAACCCCTCGAAGAGTGCAATAGTTTACATACATGTATATAAAGGTGCGCGTTAGTGAAACTGTTTGCTAATACAGTGTTCGATGGACAAATAGTCAATCTATGTAAGCCCGTCTAACGCCCTTATTTCCCCTCGATTTCGCTCTGCCTTAAGCTATGTATCGGTCCACATCCTGAATTACTGAATCCTGTCTGATTCTGGTAGTTTATCATGAGTCTAGTTGGGTATGACTGCATCAGTTCACTTGGATTGGAAAGGGGTTTCTGCTATGTGGTTTCTCAACAAGCTAGATGCACGGGAATTTCGATAGGTTTATTTCAAGAAGCTATTTTCATATTTATTTTTTTGGGAACAATATGCTATTTCCACCCCCTAAAAGACTGTTGGAATTTCCGTCTTGACGTTTTGTAATCTATTCGATCGATCAGTAACCTTACCGGCCTGCCACTGATATATAATGTGGTCTTCACTTTTATGGCTTGTCTCTAGCCCACAATCAAGCTGTCGCTCTGGTGGCTGCTGGGCAACAGTTAAGTATTATTGGCGATATCGTCGACTGTCCTCATCCACCACTATTAAATACTTGAACTATTCAGTCCCGGCGCTGAGAGAGATAACAGTACCTGGTATAGTCCAGAACTCATAGGCCACCGAGAAAACTATGATCTACTTTGATTCCCACCTTTCCGCCTATCTTTGGAAACTACTAAAAATCACTCATAATACTATATCACATGAATAGAAAAGGAAAAGAGATTTACCGGTTTATTAGTACACCAAAAAGCTTTTAAATAAAAGGTGTCAGCCTAATCCCGCAGAGGTGACAAGTGTTGCGGTCAACTAATATAATTGCTGTAGTATGTCAATCTATTACCTTTAGTTGCATGCACCCGTCCTAATTTGACAGTGACGGCAATACATCTGGCGTTGGCCTCCCCAGAAGTTACCTAGATAGAGAATAGCCGCATATCTGTATTTATGGCCTATGCGTAGAAGCCCTTGCGCTTCTAACCCCAACCACTAGACGTCTGGAGGGAGAGAACCAAGATTTGGTAGTATAATATATCCCTGACCGGAGTAAGAATGTCTTGATCTTTCTCTTATTTTATGATATGATGTAATCCTTAAAATTAATCTCGCCCGGCAATTTCTCTTCCATTCGCCGCATCATACTACAATAATAGAACCAGTCGAGCAACCCGGTTTCCCCCTGCGGCGTGATCAACTATGGACGATGGTACAAAATCTTCGCTCTCTTCTACAACCTCCCGAACAGGAAGAAAGAAACGGCCAATCTATGCATGTCTTCCATGTTATAGCCGAAGGGTCAAGGTATGTTTATACAGCATTTTGTTTGCTTCTAGGAGAATTTCAAGGATTTATACACATGTTACCTCTTCAAAAGAAGCAGAAAAATATCTAACTTCATTGCTTGCACTAGTGTGATCACCTTAAGCCTTGTACACCCTGTTGTCTCCGGGGAACGCCTTCTCGATGCGATTTCACCGAAGACGGAAGGGATGAATATATGCTGCAGTCAGATCTTATCAAGCGTCTCAAGGATGAATGCGCATGTCTGGAGAGCCGTTTGGCTGAGCTGGAATTGCTAGGCCTAGGCTCATCCTAAAAACAGGGTTGTAAGGATTGGAATAGCTGCACAAGTTAGATGTTTAAACTCACAAGCTGTAAGAAAGGGATATAACCTCTATTGCTGTAGTTGCTCTATTAAGTATATTCGACCTACTATTATGAGGATTCTTTTATAGAGTACATCCTAGTGATATATACTGGCTTCCAAAGCTATAAATATATTTTAAGTATAATGAGAATGTCTACAAGGGAAGAGTGAACAGTTCAAGAAATAGCTCTACCATCCGATATATATGAGGGGATATACATTGTCTCGATCGGGCTGATTGTAAATTACTGGAGAGGGAAGTAAGCGAACTTCAGAGCAAAAGGAAAACTCAAGAAATGAGATAAATCAAATCGATACAACAGCTACAACGTTATATATCATTTGCCTGCATCCACAGATAAAAGGTCAGACAGAACCTGATTGATGCTCATGTCAGGCGCCACAGAACGGTTGGCATTTAACAATTCAATCCCAGCCCTTAATTCAGTGACTTCCGTCCTCACGCTCGCCAATTCCATATGGACGGACTGGATATAGGCCAACAAACTATCTTCCTCGCAGGTAGGATTCATAAGCTCAGGATCTTGAGGCTGGAGATGGCCAATGCTGTTTTCTCGGTAGACTTCTAGACCATTGGTATTTGCTGAAGATTCAATGTCATATTGATTTATATGATCATGATATATAGAAGGCCACGTTACCCTGACATTCAGGGATATTGACCCAAAGGATAAGAGCCGGAACTCGGGTGAAGTCGGAGCTAAGGAATATTGCGAGACCCCTGTTTGTGGAGGTAGCAACCCAAAGCCGGGAGGACAAACTGTGATGGATGCCTGCGTAGATGGGTCGTGGAATTGCTGCTCTTGAGGTTCTTCTAGTATCTTCCTGGGTGAACGGGCGTAGCGACAAATTCCGTCGGGAGCGTAGCCGAAATTATATTGAAAAGGCAATGTGTCCAGAGGAAGTGGCTTAAGAGGTACAATATTGGGACCAGTAAACGGGCCGTTCATCTGTTCCAGGGCGTCAGCAGAAGCTACCCGATCATCCTCCGGGGGTGCTTGGAGGTATAGCGGTGACCCCAGTTCCATAGTAATTGGCACTTGGCTAAAGGCCTGAAAGGAAGTGAAAAAGACTATAACAAATAAGATGAATAGGTGGTATTCATCTACGGGTGACAAGAAATTTGATATTGATGGAAGGATTAATCGAATATTATATAGTGTCCACTTGAGGATGAAACATAGAACAGAAAAAGGAAAATGTAGTAGCCCCAGATGTTCGTGTCAAGGCACAGTCCAGGCCGTAGGTAACCGCGGTCATCTCAACATGCATAATTAGTTAAGGCTTTAGCTGTCTCCTAGGTCAGCAGACCCATCCGCCGAAGGGCGGGTTGGTTTGCCTCACCTCTACGGAAATTCCCACTTTAACGCAAAATTTGAACTTATTCAGGGCCTTTATGTAACAATACTATGCATGGTTCTTATTCTCGTATTTAGAGACGAATCTCAAAGGCTTGTAAAGCTGGTCAAGCTCAAAAAACCTAGTATCTCTGCGTTGGCGCGTCAATTTAATATTCTTATTATCAACTCAGAACACATATTCATAACCGAGCTGCTCGAAATATGTGTCCTATCTCAACTATAACCCTTGACAATTCACAGGAGAAGACACTAATATATTGGATTTGTCAGTCAGATAATATATATTATTTTCCTACAGCCGGAATAATTAATTACAGTCCTAACTAAATACTTTAACAGAATATAGTCGACAGACTAGACTACCTTGTCTACTTAATACAAACTAGGTTTATTACTTTATTAAGTATCTTCCAGACAAAATTAAACCTATTCAACTAAGGCCAAAAGACAGGAGCATTGTTAATACAGAGGATATAGAATTTTTTTAATACTGGTACAATTGCTTAGAGCCCTTTATCAAGCAGATTCCCCCTAAAAATCTATATAACTTTGATACAACCGGCTTCCAACAGGCACAGGCAATATTTTATAAGGTTATATCTACTATAACTGTATTATCTGCAAGGAGAAATCCATTTAAAGAAACACATAAACTGATCTCTACAATGGAGTATATTAGAGTAGACGGTTTTATTCTTTCTCTATACTCTAGGTCTAGAGGTATAAATTATCTGGGGAGGTAGTACAATATAGATATTTCTAATAAATAGCAAAAAGCACTATTTTTTGGATGCTGTACTTCAGATAAGATTAGATTTAATTATATATAATACTTCTACTGCTATACAAAGTACTGTATCTCTGAAAAAAAAAAAGGGTTAATTACTACTGTTTTATGGCCACAGATCCCATCTTACCTATAAATTCCTTCAGTTATGTGGATAAGACTGTATTATACTATATTACCTTTCTTCTTATACAATATATCCTGTACAATCTCTTAATAGACAATCTTTTCAGATCTATAAAGACCTTTATCGCAAGAGAAATAATGAACCCGCTCAAAAAGGCGCTGAGATAGACAATAAGAGGGTTTCTTAAAAGAGACTTATTTTATTTTTTCAACTTTTATAAGATCCGAGATGCCTTTGAGAAGCGAGCTATACATCCTTCAGATTCAGAGAAGACAATGAAGACCCTCCAGGACTTAAGATAATTACAACACCATTACCGTTACCATCTACAATACGAGGTCTTCGTCGAAGTATTAGGAAAGCACAGAGTTTTATTAATAATAGCCCAGAGCTTGATCAAAATTTTGTAGGACGGCTTGAATGTGTATTCCAAAGCTCACTTCTATCCACGCCCAGCGACTATACGACCAAGACTACGGGCCTACTTTCTAACACAATTACGCATGGACCATTCTTTCCTAGCCACAGACGCTGAACGATGTCAGTCCAGTGAGAATAATCATGCGAATGCGGTGTACCGGAGACAGTAAACCATATACTAATAGAATACTCGGCCCTTAGTATTCTATGACAGGGAGTACAAGAATAAATAGGGGAATTCCTCAGAATCATATCTCCAATACTCGGAGGAAACAGTCAATATGAGTAAAGGGATAAGTCTGCAGGAGTATCTCAAGGCAGAGTACTTAATACTGTGCTAAATTTTACAGAAGTATTAGATAAATTTCCCAGCCGCGGATGGAGAGGACCGCAATAAAAGAGAAGCAAAGCAAATAGACCACTACATACCCTGACAAAGCTATAAATTCACCAGAGATAGAATACTATGATTAGACCTACAAAGATAGCTCTAGTTAATATAACCTGGGTAACAGCAACAGACGAAAGGTCAGGGTAAAGAAAATTTATTATTACCACCACCATCTATATATATAATATAGGTGAGAAAGGATTTCCTACCAAAGTACGTTCCAAAGACAAAAAAACTTCTATAATTAAAAATATGAGTAAGGAGATCTCAGAAAATATCTCTAGGATAGTACTCGGGAGTGGATGATTACAAATACTTCTATCTGTGAAGATGGAGTTTTATTGTCTCCTTGCAGCAACTCCTTCCGCAACAGTCGATAAAGTTTGCAAATATCCTGGATGCCTTTGTTTGACGGCGTTTTTGGGGTGATCAAAGCCTTGTACCTCTCGGAGTTGATCAATAAAATTTGGAGACAGATTTCTCGCCACTCAATTTGAAGAGGACTATATAACGAATCGGCCCATGAGCGAGTAACCCCAGGAATTCCATGTTTACCAAGGTATAAGTAATGTTGTAAATACGGATGTCCGTACTTCAACAGGAGTTTTGTGTGATAGGCACAGAAGCTAGGGATGGAATTCTGAGAGTTATCCATATGGGTACTAGAGCTGGTTGGGTTTGGGCTCCGAACCATGGATCTATTATGGGTTCTGCGAAGTCTAGGAATTATCGTTGAGCTGAGTCACACAACACACTGAACAGGTGTGGTAGGTCTGCTGACCTAAGAGACAGCCATCACCGTAACAAATTCAAAAAAGACATAGTAAATTATTCCAATATGTGAGTTGTTTCAGGGGCAAGGAACGCCGATTAGTCAGAGGTCTCTATCTGCTTCCAGCATGTTGCTTCTATCGGAGGCTTGCTTATAGAAGTTGGTTTTAGTTTTGAAATCTGTATAAAGAGTGGGTACGCCTTTAACTTTACACTAGCTTAGGAATGTGGGTCTTTAGTAAAATGATTAGCCACAGCATTACTTGTTTCGTCTCGGAGATACATTTCTTCTCCAATTACCTAGTACCCAATGCGCGCCAGATCATGTTTATAAGCAACCACTGGATAGAAGCAACATAAGATACTACTCAGTATTCAAAAGGGTTTTTTTACCGGGTCATACAGTACGTGGGTTTTGCCACGATCGAAAAATTGGTGTCTTGTGGTCATTTTGCGACTGCAATACAATACACATGTAGACCTGCACCATGACCCAGAAACAGAAGGAGATTTTGACCGTCGTATTCCTCGTGAACATTCAGCCAGAACCCAATAGTCGGCCAAGCGATCCATCACAGAACATATCATACTCTTACCATCAGCGAGGGGTTTAACCCAGCAATACGCTATTCCAAGCTAGTACGATATGTTCAGGGCCTATCGTATATTCGTGAACATGGTTCCAATGGGTCTCTGCTCTGTTATTTTCTTTTCTTTTCTTTCTTTCTTTCTTTCTTTCTTTTTTTCTTTTTTTTTTTTTTTTTTTTTTTGGGGGGCGGGTGTGGATTAATACATGCTGTAACTGTGGGGACATAAACATAACGTTATGCGACGGGTCGCTGTAAGTGGCTAGCAGTGTGGACAGGAATGGTATCCAACGGTTCCCCTTTGAGACAGTTTCTGGTTTTTGAAAGGCAGGCATGACTACTCATGAATCGTGCTTCAGCCGATTTCTGCACCCTTCAACAATCGGAACACCTAACCATGTCCAGGTCGAATACAACACACTCATGATAGACGGAAGAAACAAGTAGATTGAATAAATATATAAGGCAACTAGGGCTCAGGCATCCGAGGCCTTATATCAGACAGAATAAAAGAATAGAAGAGATCAAAAGAATGTATAGGAAATCAGCTACCTCTCTAGCACGGAGGACCTGGGGTTCAGCCAGCCAAAGTGGCGTCGTACTAGCGGAGAATGCAAGAATAATCTCTACTTATTACTGGCACAGGGAATCTGAGGTTGGGGGAACTAATGTCCTTCTAGTTAAATCGATACCACTTACCAAGGTCAATAAGTCATTATAGTGATCATCCAAATCAAGCTCCCTGCATCTACCAACACAGACACACCGGGGATCATTTCTGGTGTTCATGCGTGACGTGGTAATGTAGGGTGATGCAATTCCCATACCATCGTTCAGTTCAAGCGCTCGCTGATGAACATCCTGTCTTTGTTGTTATTTTGGGGTTTACGCAAGTGCAGATACAAATCTATGCTTAACGTAACCGGTAAACGAGCGGACCACGCAATCGAGTGGTCCAACGCGCCAGTTTTCTACGCGTTTGTTTTCTTGAAGCTATTCAACCACCAGCCATACCACCAGAAATGCCTAAATCATAAAGATCTCAGGTGCAGCAGGAAGGCAGGGGCCTACTAGCAAAATCAGCTATTAAGAACAATGAATTTACCAATATTCATGAGGCAGGTCGTGTTTTAAATATATCTCGTACAACAATTCAAAGGCGCCTATCAGGGTATACATTTCGATCAAGTACACGCGCAACTGGTCATAAATTGACTACTAGTGAAGAGGAATCGCTTAAAGATTAGATTATATCACTAGATAAACATAGAATACCTCCCCAGCCTGCACATTACAAGAAATAGTCAATATCCTGCTTTCAAAGCAAAATACTACTCTCCCCCCTACTACTGTAGGGGAGAAATGGGCATATAACTTGATCAGGTTTATATCTGAGCTTAAAGCCTACTTTTTGTATTGTTATAAATATTAATATACTAAAGTAGAGGGTCCTAAGATTCTAGGAGCTTGGTTTAAGCAGATTAATAGAACTATTCAGAAATACAGTATAGCTTAATATCTACAATTTTAATAAATTAGGATTTATAATAAGTCTGGTAGCTGCAGCCCAAGTTCTTACTAGGTCTATATACTAGGTAAGTCATTTTTGTTGTAGTCAGAAAACCGGGAATAGATTACTTCTGTAGAATATATATATAATTTAATAGATAAGCTCTATCTTTCTGTATTATTTTTTAAAAGCAAGGTGTATATAGAGATCTAATATAAGAACAACAAGATTTATTCAATCGGGCGTATCCGTTGCTCGCTTGAAGCAATCAGAAAGCACAACAAACAAACAGAAATAATATATAGATAATATTGAAGATAGTAGTCCTATCGCATAGACTAGTAATTTGACAGGTTATCTTGTTTAACAATGTATGTAAGAAAAAGAAATGAATTAATAATAAGAAAGAGAGAGGAGAGACATAACTTAGAAACTACAGGGTTCTTTAATAAATATAATAAATATAGAAATAAAATTTCTGTATAGAGAAATAAGAAGGGAAACAGTGGTGTGACTATAGACATGCACATTATCCGTGGCGGGAGTACGCGCCGCGGAGAACATCAAGAATCGACGAATTAGCGGGTGCGTAAATGAGACGAGGGCTCGGTGCACCACGCACTAGGGTATAGAAATATGCCAATCAGACATCAGTCATTAAATCTTCCCAAAATTCCGAGCTGCTTACGTCGGTGGATCCGTCTGCATCGAGTTGGCTAGACATTATCAGCTCCAACAAATCCACAAAACCACGGATATCCTCAATTGTATTGTAATGGCTAGGGCTAACGCGAATAACCCCATCTTTCGGAAGCTTCAGCACATCATAAACTGGCCGTGGCGAGTAGCAGTGACCGGCGTTGACCAAAAAGTTCGACTGAGTATGGATGAAGTCCACAATGGAGGTCGATTTCCGCCCATTGACCGTAAAGCTGATAATAGATACCCTTCGTGTCGGGTTTCCGTACTGTTCACCATAAATGGTAAATACATCTGGCTTGCTGCGTAGATACTTTAAGAGTTCCTCAGTAAGGAGGGCCTCATGGCGCATGATGTTGTCCCATCCGACAGATTCAATATATTTGACAGCTACTGGCAGACTGTGTTGTAATTCGAAACAATTCACACCCACTCGAAGCTTGATGTTCAGATGATATGGATCAGTAAACCTATGGTTTAGGCTTGTCATATTCTTATCCTGAGCTTCCCGCTTCGCGTAGACCTGCGCAATGTGTGGACCATAGATCTTGTACCAGCTGAGGAAATAAAAGTCAACATTAAGTGCACGGACGTCAACAGGGCCGTGTGGAGCCCAGGTGACACCGTCAACTGCAATCAGGGCATCAGGGATTTTGTGTACAAGATCAGCGATCTGACGAATCGGGTGTACGGTGCCAATAATGCTCGATGCATGGTTGCAAACAACAAGTTTGGTATTTGGGGAAAGCAACTCAGTGAGTGTTTGGATATAAGGATTAGGATCGGCAGTCAAGGGAGGCGTCCACCATTTGATAGTGAGGCCTTTATCCTCGGCCAGATTAAGCCAAGGCGTCACACTAGCCTCATGAGATAGGTTGGATATAATAATCTCGGATTCAGGGTTGAATGATGCCTGCAAGGAACGAGAAACATTCAACATATTTTGTGATGTAGACGTGCCAAAAGCTAGAAAACAGTTCAGTTGAGATATTGAGTGATAGTGATCTGGCTGGGTCTTACCAATCTCATCGGGGGATGCATTGATAAAAGCTGCCGCGGTCTCAAATGAATGCTCCCTAGTCCGGGTGGCTTCCTTATTCATGTCATTAACTACTCCAAGAGGGAATGGAAGTGCAGTCAGAGTTTCCTTAATACTGTGTATATGAGCTCTAGAACATATAATGGATTGGCCCCGAGTGAGGATTATATACCTGTCAACCACATCCTGGTGAACAGCGCTACCAACAGCGTTGTTGAGACGGACAACATCTTTCTGCAAGGCTGGAAACTGTTTTCGAATAGCGTCAACATCGAAGGATGCTGCTGCTGATTTTGACTTAGTCATTTTGATGATCCAAAGGGTGTTGTATATGAAGGTCCAGCTTTAAAGTGATAAGTAAACAATTTGATTTTCCAAGCCCTAGTGCCTCTTATAACAATCTTGTCGCTATGAAGGAAAGGGTACTTTCTAACTATCTGTATCTAATGGTGGTACTAACCGTGCTGTTTCTCGCCCCACAGCAGTATTGGTGCTTGTCATCGACATGCATTATCACACATGCATTATCACACATGCATTATCACACATGCATTATCACACATGCATTATCACACATGTATTATCACACATGCATTGTCGCATATGTGCGTTTATCATATACGTATATTTGAGAGGATTAAGTATACTTCGTATTGTAATAGTTACGCTACGAAAGATACCTAAATTCGGCTTGTAAAATTTAAATTTTTTCAGTATGGCAAATAATATTTTCAAAAATTATTCTTCCGTATTATGGTGCGTCTCGGATAATTTAGATGCTACATATTCTCCTTTTCTAAAACTTAAGGCTCAGAATTATGAAAAAGCGCCTTCCTATTATCCACACTCCACCTTGAGTCTTTTTTCTAGGTTTTACATTTTTTTGGCGGCTTTAGACTTTGAAATTGGGTACAAGGTCTGTACATATTTCTAAAAATTACATATAATAGAATTATTGAAACTTTCCTAAATACAACTGATACAATAGGTTTATAAGGTTCGAGACACTATGCTGACCGTGAGATAGAAGACGCTTAATAATAGGAGAATCTGATCCGCAGAGAGCACACTGGCTAATGCCTATATTAGGTTAATTTTAACGGTTAAAAAAATACACAACCAGGTTTAAAGTATTATAAGCCCACCATTATATACATAGATACATTCTATAAATAATTAACCGTAATCTTAACCGTTTGCCAGTCTAGCAGAGAGTTAGTAGGCCTGGCTGAACTACCTCATCCCGCGTGCCTATATGAGGTAATACGGATATTCGTGAATCTGTACATAGAGAAATAGTGATATTCTGCGTTATTTAGCTAGTAGGTCTGCTTACTGAGAAAGTGCTATATTCATTGCAGATATTCCATTGTAACATGGAATTTCATATCCAGTTCTCTCAAATAACAGGTTTAATATATAAACATGTATGAGACAAGCACAGTTACTGGTTATGTTAAAGCTAGAATTCTGATACACCAACTTGAAGTAGTGCAGAAGTGGGTACCTGCATATCCGATGTCGGTCATAAACTACATATGGCCGCTAATATTGCTACGTACATCCGAACATCTGAGAGGGAGCTGAATGTTACAACACATATGCACTATAACGGTTCGGTACGCGTAGTATGTATGTTATATATGTGCCTTAATAGGAAAGTAGAGGAGATTGTCAACAGCAAGAATTACACAGTTAGATCCTAAGCCACAGATAAAGCGAATGAGACCAACTATGATATACTAATAATTATCTCACAGTCTATTGCATCTGTAACTAGCTTAACTCGCGCATAGGTTACCGTACAACACTAGAGACTCAATATAGGCGTCGCCCTAAGCTGGGAAAGCAAATTGATTCCTGGCTATATCGTCAGCTTAGGAGCTTATAGTCATGTAATTTACCTACCCAGTATCATGAGTAGAGATTTTTTAGCAAACTAATATTTATTTGGCTACTATGGACCAATGGACCACTATTGGCATGTTTTAGGCTAGCCAGCTTTGAACGGGAACAAGGCAGCTGTATGGAATAGTTTTTGAGCACGTCATATCCCAATTCTACCTGCATGAGTCCCACCTACCGGTTTAGGGCATATCTACGGAACTAACATAGATATAATATGAATTCAGCTTAGGAACGCAGACGCAAGAATGGAAAGTGGTTTGTAACATAATATCTATGTAATTATGAAACCCGAAGCAAGCAGGCCATGTGGGTGACCCGTTGGCTTACATGGCCTGTCGGACTGAATTAGCAGAATTACGATCATTACGTATGTGTTTCAGATTATTTTTCGTAGTAACCTCCATAGATGACTTGACTGCTCAAGGGAACATTACTGGAATGACATACTGCTAATACCTCGCGAAATGCCCCTCTTGGTTGAGCGATAGACCCGCTCCCTCACATGATTTGTTCGCTTACGGGTAACTTTGGCATTTGATGCCCATGTATTTTCTTCCAAGATTGTTTATCCATAATAGCTAGTGACACTGCCCTTCTTAGCTGCATGCTCTTAATATATTTATGCAATGTGATAAATCACTGCTGACGTATACCTAGCAGTAGCTCTAGGCTTCAGATCGCCTTAGCGATTTGTGATTTGGCGGAAATATTTTCATAGACAAAACTAGAATCTTCCGGGTTTAGATAATTTTATAGAGCTTAGCAGGCCATAGCTGCTGTCTATGGGTTTCTCGCATTTTATCATATAAAGCAGCACATCTGGGCACGGCTTTTTCAGAGCCAGAAGTTCTCGGTCAAGGGAGAATCACGCTAGTCGAAGTATTACTTCAATTCAACATGGCAGAGAATAAGTTTCTTCTCTTTGCAGATCAGACATGCGGCCCTGCCCACTCGTTGAAGAGGCTCATAGGAGATCCAAGCTTGACAGGTTTGCTGCATCCTTTTTTCGATGCAGTGAATTCTGCCCTTAGAGATGAAGCTCGGTCCCTAACCGCTGAGGATCTGAAGGCTTTTGGGTCTGCCTTTTCGGTTGTGGATATGGCAGTAGGGGATAGCTTGATGGATGGATACCAGCCAGGTAGTGTAGCGTTGTCGACAGTCCAGCACTGTATTTGCCAGATTGCTTCTCTGGTAATGTGAGTGTCAGAAGTCAATTAGTTTGGTAGTCTTTAAACTGCTAATATTCTGTTAGCAAAAGTGCAAGCAACCCGGAGAATCTCGGCTTCAATGGCTCTGTTAATATCCTAGGTCTTTGTACTGGCTTCTTGGCAGCTCTTGTTGCTGGGTACTCTACGGATCAACAGCAAGTTATCAAAATTGGAAGTCAATTAGTACGTGTGGCCTTGCGATTAGGTTTAGAAGTTCACCGAAGGTCCCGGTCAATCGAAAACAGCAGCGGATCTTGGTCGACTGTGATTCGAGGAGCGTCAATTCAGCAAACACAGCGGATGATTGACGAATTCAATGCTAGCAGGGTATGTTAATTTTTTTCAACCGCTTATGTTTAGTACTATTGATGGGTGTAAGGATGCCTTAGGCATTTTCGGACTAGTATCATCGCTCCTCCAGCTAGCTAACTAGCCAGCTTTCCTCTCTTCATATCCATGCGCATCTGATCGATCCCTTCATTATTCTTCCGTATACAGATACTAACATACCAAAAAATAGGCACTTCCTGTCTCTCGTCAAATGTACATCAGTTCATGGGCTTTTGAGTGTATTACCGTCAGCGGCCCCCCATCTACCTTGAGCGACCTTTTCAGGAATGTTGAAGCATTCCAGGAGGCCAATCACTCTGCGCTTCCTATTTATGGAGCTTTTCATGCTCCACACCTCCCGCCTTGTGATATTGGTTGGATTACGGAGCCATTCAGGGGCTTTAATAAAACATTCCGCGATAATGTCACCATCATCTCTGCGTGTTCCGGTGAAGCATACAACCACAAAACATTTGATACGTTGCTAAGAGAGGGTCTTAATGATATCCTTCACAACAAAGTCTATCCACAGATCGCTTTGGATGCAGTGGCAAACCGAGTCAAAGAGACCCCGGTTAGGGTTGCGGTGCTTGGCCCGACTGGTGGCACAACAAAAATTTGTCAATACTTGAATTCATCTTACGGTTGGGATATCAGCAGCAAACTTGAATGTCCAGCTCAAGGTCAAATAAAAAGAGAGTCAGGAGAGAAAATAGCAGTGGTGGGAATGGGAGGGCGATTTCCGGGATCCTCTGATTTAGACGGGTTTTGGAGGACTTTAGAGGAAGGGATGGAATTTCACCAGCAGGTGAGTTAACTTGTTAAACAATACTGTTGTTTGACTCTGCCGAGAATATGCCATGACTAATAAGCGAAAATAATTTTGCAGATACCATCAGACAGATTCGACACCTGTCACTTCAACCCCTACAAAACGACGGATGAGAAGGGACTACCGGCTCCATACGCTTGCCTCATTGATGACCTCGGCTCCTTCGATACGAGCCTATTCCGCATGTCAGCACGGGAAGCAAAGAATACAGACCCCATGCAGCGTCAGTTAATGACTGTGACCTATGAAGCACTCCAGCAAGCTGGTTATGGATCAGAGTACGCTGGCAAGATCGGGACTTTCGTGGGTCAGACTACTGATGACTGGAGGGAATTCAATACTGGGGAGGATCCAGATATTTACTATGTTTCCGGAACTATCCGAGCATTTGGACCAGGACGCCTGAACTATTTCTTCAAGTGGGATGGGCCATCCTACAGCATTGATACTGCTTGCTCGTCTAGTTTTGCCTCTATCCAGGTAGCTTACCACTCGCTGTTACAAAATGATTGTGATATGGCTATAGCTGGAGGTGGAAACGTACTTACGGGTCCAAATATGTTCCGAGGTCTGATGAAAGGAGGATTCCTTTCATCAACTGGAGGCTGCAAGACATTTGATAGCGATGCAGATGGGTATTGCCGAGGTGAGGCAGTAGGCGTTGTTGTCTTAAAACGCCTCAGGGATGCCATCGCTGATAACGATAACATCTACGGTGTCATTGAAGGAATATCCACAAACCACTCCGCTCACGCAATATCCATCACACACCCACACCAAGAAACCCAGGAGAGTCTCCACAGGCACACATTCTATGAAGCGGGAATTTCGCCAAGCATGGTGGACTACGTCGAGTTACACGGCACAGGCACTCAAGCTGGAGATAAAATTGAAGTCTCAGCGGTCGCAAATGCGCTTGGTGGACGTCGCGGTAATGAACCTATATATATTGGATCCATCAAGGCTAATATGGGCCACAGTGAGGCGGTAAGTCAAGAGCTTCAATAAAGGTAACTAGAACTAACGTAATTATCAGGCTGCAGGCATCACATCACTTATCAAGGCGTTGATGATGTTCAGAAAAAATAAGATACCACCTCATGTTGGAGTCAAAACCCAGATGAAAGAAGAGATTGCAAGTGTCACCAGCGCGAACAACCTTTGCGTACCAGTCTCAAATATACCATTCCATGCTCGCTCAGCGGATGGATGCCGGAGAATACTCGTCAACAATTTCAATGCAACGGTATGAATAATCATGACTGCTTATTATACAGTGATGGACACTAAGAAAATATTTCGAATAGGGAGGAAATACAAGCCTAATTATAGCTGACTACCGGAAACAACCACACACTAAACTCAATGACCACGCAGGACATTATGTTGTTGCTATTTCTGCAAAGTCTCAACGCAGCCTGGAAGAAAATCGAGCCCGCTTGCTGCAATACGTGGAAAGCAACAAATCAAGCGTTAAATTGGGTGATCTGGCCTATACATCAACTGCACGAAGGCTTCATTCTGAGCTCCGTACATCATATATAGCAAAGACTATCGACGACCTCCTCCACGAACTCCAAAAGGCACCCAACCTTGCATTCAGTCCGGCAAACAGAAATAAAACTCTTCATGTTGCGTTTACCTTTATCGGGCAGGGTTGTGGACACCGTGGATTGGCCTATCAGCCCTTCTTGACAAGCACTCGATTCCGCCAGATACTAGGAAAGTATGACGCAATAAACATCGGGCTTGGATTTCCATCATTCTTGGATTACCTGCTCAGTGGTGATGACAGAAGGACGGTGTCACCAGTGGTCGAACAGATTGCATTGGTTGCATTGGAAGTTGCAGTTGCAGAGCTGTGGCAGGGCTGGGGTGTGCAACCAAGACTTGTTATAGGACACAGTCTGGGAGAGTACGCTGCACTTTGTGTCGCTGGGGCATTGTCAATTAGCGACACTATATTCCTTGTGGGCAAAAGAGCATGTCTTATGGAAGAGCTTTGTCGCGCTGGGTCCCATGGCATGCTCGCAGTAAACCTTGATCGCGCTTCCGCACTAGCTCACTGCGCATCCTCCTCATGTGAACTCTCATGCATCAACTCTCCAACTTCCACTGTGTTAAGCGGGCCGCATGAGGAATTGATGCATTTGCAAAGAAAACTTTCTGATGAAGGTGTCCGGAATAAGCTGCTCGATGTTCCGTATGCATTCCATTCGGAGCAAATCAGTCCAATTCTCGATAAATTCCGCGAAGTGGTGAACTCTGTGCCATTTAAAACACCGACATTACATATTTTGTCTCCGCTCCTACAAACTGTTTTGAGTTCCGGCTCTGACATCCAACCAGAATACCTCATAAGACATGCCAGAGAGCCCGTCGACTTTGTGGCAGCCCTTGAAAGTGGGCAGGCTCTTTACAATGGTGACGTGACATGGCTTGAATGTGGACCTGGGCCTGGGTGCTTGGCATTCATAAGCAGAATGTACACTACCTCTCCTTCCAAATTGCTCTCCAGCTTAAAAGAGGGAGCAGACTGCACTCGAACTATAGCATCGTCAATGTCTATGTTGTATAATGAAGGCCATAATATTCTGTGGTCCCAGTTCTACCGGGAACACGAGTCAGAATATAGTCTAATAGAGCTTCCTACTTACGCATTCGATATGCAGAACTATTGGATTGATGGTGTCTGTCAACGTAAGGAGCAAGCTCCTCTTAACAACACGATCATCACCAGTGAGCCACATAGTACGAGTGTACAACATCTAAAGACCAGGTCATTTTTGGAGGGCAATGAAATGGTCACCTTCACCACTAACCCAAGAGAGCGACAGCTCTTCGAAGCAATCAAGGGCCACTCTGTCATAGGTTTCAACTTGTGTCCAAGCTCAGTTTATGTGGACATAGCTGTCACTTCAGCCACCTATCTAAAGAACAATGGCAGCACCATACTTCCAAGCTCAGCCATTGAGGTTACCAAATTTGACATCTCACGGCCTCTTGTTGTCTCAGAAGAAGGGTCAGATATTCAAATTAGCATCATGGCCAAATCAAACCAAGAGTCTGACACTGCAAGCGTATCAATCAGCTCGCAACAGGACTCTGGACAGACTGAACACGCCCAGTGTAATGTTACCTTCTGCCGCGTTGACGACTGGGCTTCAGAGTGGGCTCGATATGCTGATTTTGTGTCGCTACGAATCCAGCAACTGACAAGCATGGATCCAATGGGCGATGTTTGCAGAATCTCTGGAAAAGCTCTATACCGACTATTTGCCGCTATTGTGGATTACGCTCCTCATTATCATGCTATCTCAGAGATGTTCATTGACTGTGATCAGGCTGAAGCATGTGGAACTATCGCTCTGCCTGCGTCTAGTGAGCATGGAACTTTCACTTGCTCCCCATATTCCATTGATTCTATAATCCATTTCGCTGGTTTTATTCTCAACAATAGCATGTGCAAAACAAGAGACCAAATTTACGTGTCAAACGGGTGGAAGTCCCTGCGAGTTCTACCAAGTCGCCTCGAGAAGAAGGAGTATCAAGTTTATTCACGGATGTGTGAGTCGGGAAAAAAAGGACAGTGGGTCGGCGACGTTTACCTCCTCGACGGTAGAAATGTTGTAGCTACCTGTTTCGGGCTGTCCTTCCAAGGTATCCGACCCAATATCCTGCAGTCTCTCCTAGAGAAGACCGCAAGTACGGATCAAATGCTCTCCCGACAAAATGTGGTCCAGTCTAGGACCTTGGAGATCGTGAAGCCATTACCGAGAAGGATAGAAGAGACTTCAGCTCTGAGCCAGAACACTTCGACCATCGCCAAGGTTATTGCACGGGAGCTCCAGATAGATGTCGATCAGCTGCCACTGACAACAGCATTTGAGCAACTAGGTCTTGACTCCATTCTCTCCGTCTCCATCGCCAATAGCGTGAAACAGGAGACTGGTCTGGCTGTGCCAAGCACACTTTTTAGTCGAGACTCAACGCTAAGTCAGCTTCTAGACTACATAAAAGACACATATGGTGTCAAAGAGCAGTGCAGAGAAACTAGCATTCCGGAGACACCCGCATCCGGCACTAGCATTGAGGGAGGAAAGAATCATTTTGAAACTTTACTGAGCATTGTGGCCTCGGAAACAAGCATTGAAATAGAGAAACTGGATGATGACGTTTGTTTCCAAGATCTAGGTGTTGATTCATTAATGTCAATGGCTATTATCAGTGCGTTCCGAGACACAACAGGAATGTCTCTCCCAACGACCATCTTCTCTGAGTTTGAGACCATTCAGTCAATCAGAGAATTCCTCATTGGCAGCTCTCAGATGACGCCAGTTTCCAATGCTATGTCTACCGATTCGCATGATGACCAGCCAACCTACCAAGGGTTCGGCCGTCTTCTTCAAGGTGATCCCTCATCCAGTCTCCCACCTATCTTCCTCGTAGCACCTGGATCAGGATACCCAGGATCCTACATGAACCTCCCACCATTCAAGAACAAACAGCCTGTTTACACCTTGGAGTCCCCATTCCTCCAGGGCATCCCTGCCGGCGGGTGGACCATCGAGTACGCTGCAACTCTATACATAACCGAAATCCAGCGAATCAAGCCTATCGGACCATACATTCTTGGTGGATGGTCAATTGGAGGCATGTATTCGTACGAGATTGCCCGCCAATTTTCCTCGAAGGGACAAGAAGTTATTGCAATTGTTCTCATTGATAGCCCTTGCCCAAAGGGCTTCCCTGTCAGTATGCCTGACCCTACAATCGAAGCATTGGAGGTCACAGGCCTTTATGCACCGATCAAGCGTCATGGTGGACAGCCCGATGTTGACATGCCCATGAATCTCAAGGAGCATACTGTCTACTCACTCAAAGCTCTTCGGCACTACGCGCCTCCTCCATTGGATCCCAGTCGGCGACCGCGCCATATTTTACAGATCTGGGCTAGTAAGGGCGAGTACGATCTACTGCCCCTCCGGCTTACGGAGGTAGTTGCAAAAATATCTGGGTGTTCAAAGGGCCCAGATGTCTACCACAACTGGCAGACTATGCCCCGAACCTCATTTGGACCATGTGGTTGGGATTTGCTTGTTGGTGATATTGAATGTTTAGTACTGGAAGGCGACCATGAGTCCATTATGAGCCCACCAGCGGTAAGTACTGATTCCTCTCTGGTTTTTTGAAGTAGTGCTGACTTTATATTCTTTAGATTTCAAAAACTGGACAGTTAATACAGAATGCTATTGATCGAGCTCTCAGGATTCATGGGTGAACAACATGATCTATGGCGTGCGATTGAATGGGTCTCATTGGGGTCAAGATATATGTAAGCCGATGGTATCCCTACAGCCACAAGTAGATATATCTGAAGCGCATATTGAGAGTTGCAAGGCAATATACAAATTTAATGTGAGAATTTAACTTGGTCACATTATCTAGTGCATCACATGGGATAATCTTGGTCACATTGAAAATTAGTTAGTCTCACAGTAAATAACAGTTCTCACTATGAACCTGGTGTATGGTAAATGTGAGCGTTGGTTCTATTCATATATTATTATATGTCTTTTGTTATATAATATTATTACTATACTTATACCTAGGATTATACTGAGATCTATTAATATTATTGTTCGGAACCGCCACTGATATATTGCCGCTCGGGAGATACCTAAACTCCCGAAATAATCAAATTCTATGGCTACAACAGTCCTAGTATGTTTCTGCCTTGGGTGAGTCTCGCTACCGATAGACCACTCACACCAAGTCAAATGGATACCTCATCGGCTTGCTTCTGCTTAAACCAATGACTGCTACCTGCAACCCGCGAGTAGGAACATCGGATGTGGGTTGCTTGCATTATACCATGTCCTCGCTCTGGAATCTGACACAGGAAAATGCATTATCCAGCCACAGTCCTGGTAGGCTGTTTCTGACGTGGCAATCCCACCCTCTTATAGATAAGGAAGGAAGGCGTGCATAAAATCGAAGCACCACTAACATGGAACTATCAGGCCAGTCGCAAATGACACTGTCGGATTGGTAGTCAGCCATATTTCTGCGACTGCCAAGCATCTGGCCGTGCATGCCGCATAAGACTATAGAATATTTGCATTGCCTAGCGTGAAAGTCGGTTAGCTTGCTAATTGACCGATGATAAGATGCCGATTTTGCCGGGTTTTTTCACGACGAACAAAAGAGGAGAACATAAAATCTAACACAATATATATATAAATGCGGAGGCTCCATTAAAGTATTTAAACATCTTACACCCAACTTGTACCTCGTATACATTTTACTCAATTACTATTGTGGAACAGGAAAGGAACTGTGAAAATACTGAACAGGAGAAGAGGGGAAGAGTGGAGTCATGGAAAAATCAGCAGTGGATTCTCCCACCCCTCATACACCGGATTCAGGCTCAAGGACAAAACCGGATACGGAGGCGCTGCCTGTGCAACCTGAAAAGGAACAGGATCCTGATTTAGTAGATTGGGATGGACTTGATGATCCTGAGAATCCGTTTAATTGGCCTTCTTGGAAGAAATGGCGTCAGTTGATCTTTATGGCAATCAATACATTCCTCACGTAGGTCAAGTCAAGAATCCTATGTACCATTTCAATATATCCAACTGATCATTTTAGACCCCTCGCCTCTACCATGTTCACTCCAGGCGTAGCAGATATTCTCCAAGAATTCGGCTCAGACAGCACAATGATGGCCTCATTCCTGGCCTCTATCTACATCTTAGGATACGTCGTGGGACCCTTCATAATTGCTCCGCTTTCTGAACTCTACGGGCGCGTCCCGCTTTACCATATCTGTAATATCCTCCTACTCATTTTCACCATTGCCTGTGCTGCTGCCCAGAGCTTGCCCCAACTTCTGGTCTTTCGGCTTTTAGCCGGTATCGCGGGCGTTTGTCCTCTGACTATTGGAGGGGGGACCGTGGCTGATATGGTATGTAAGGAGAAGAGAGCAGGTATGATGGCTATCTGGACTCTGGGGCCATATATGGGGCCTGTTGTTGGGCCTATTGTGGGTGGATACCTTGTAATGGCTGAAGGGTGGAGATGGGTGTTCTGGGTGCTGTCGATTACCGTATGTGTATAAAACAGCTTTCTGATTATTAACGTACTAACTTGGATTTGTAGATCGGTCTTACCTTTACTGGGACGGTGATATGCTATCGCGAAACCTACGCACCAGTCTTACTCCATCGGAAAGCCCAGCGTCTACGCAAAGAGACAGGAAACCCCAGGCTCCGCTCTATCTACGATGATGGCAACAGATCACCTCGATATGTTTTCATTACTGCGCTTTTACGCCCAACCAGGCTTCTATTTACCTCGCCAATCGTATTTTTAATGGCTCTCTTCGCTGCGATCACTTACGGCTACCTTTATCTCATGTTCACCACCATGTCCTCCATCTTTGAAGACCAGTACGGCTTCAACCAAGGTATAGCAGGTTTAGCGTATATTGGCTTCGGAGTAGGCTGTGCTCTCGGCCTCCTCATCGTCGGCCGAACGGCGAACGCAATTGCTGTCCGACACTCTGCGCAAGGACGGTTTGCGCCGGAGTCTCGCCTACCACCAATGATCTACGGATGCTGGGCTATTCCCGTGGGTCTATTCTGGTATGGATGGTCAGCAGAAGAGAAGGTACACTGGATAATGCCCATAATTGGAACTGGTATCTTCGGGTTCGGCTTTGTGGCCGTTTTCGCAACTGTCAGTGTGTATTTAGTTGATTCGTATCTTCGATTTTCTGCGTCGGTTACTGCGGCTAATGTCTTTCTGCGGTCGCTTCTTGCTGCTGTGCTACCACTCGCTGGACCTTCGATGTATGACGCTCTTGGATTAGGGTGGGGGAACTCGCTACTGGCATTTGTTGCGCTGGCAATGTGCTTTGTGCCGCTTTTATTTGCCAAGTATGGGGCGATGATTCGAACGCATCCAAAGTTTCAACTTCAGCTTGAGTGAGGATTTGTTGTGCTTGCACTGATACACCTTACATGATATCTTATAGATTGGTTACGCTTATAGTTTGCTTTCACCCCAAAAGTTATCCCTTGTCTTCAATCGGCTTAACTGACAGCCAATGTTGCAGTGTTGGGATGGAAGTTTTAGTCACTATTGCCATGATCTCGCTTAACTGCAGTATAGATCTCTTATAGACTTCCAGACCACTGCTTTTCACAAGATTATCTATACTTGATCTTAAATACCGAGGAATAAGTCTCCACAGCCACGAGCAATAACTGGTAAGATATATTCTAATTGTTATTACTTCTAGTTGCTGGGGTATTAAAGTGTTAAAACGGTCGATTTATATGGAGTATAGACCTGCGTCGCTCGCTTACCGAACACAGCACTTTCCTACAGTTCCATGGCAAAAAGTATTGATACACTGCTGGTTAAGTAGGAACCACCACTATAAAAAGGCAGTCACTGTGCAAACCAGACACAATAACAATCTAGGATGCACGAGAGCGTATATACTACATTATTTCTACATAAGAATCTTATGTCAGTCCACTGTACAGGTAGCCCTCGAATCGGGGCATATAACCCCGTTACCAAGGCTGAAAAAAAATCAGGCTATCATGGAGATGCACACGCTTCCAAATGTAACCACTGTAGCCGGAAGAAGTCTGAATCCGCCTCCTGATTACCAATATGTTTGGAATCTCGGTGCCGTTCCGCCTCCCTTGTGGAGTCATGGAAATTATCGTATCTTGCATGTCTGTCCCCTTTGCTCCAACGTTTATCCTCCCAAATTTTGAACATCATTTTCCTCGTCTTCTTTCTATCTGGGATGTGTTGGAATGTGGATCCAACCAATCTATGTACTGGCGTGTTCGGTTTTCCTCCCCTTCCCTGTTAAAGTGGACACATTAGCACACATCACTAGTGGCGATGTCTATTCATATGTTTCACATGCTAACAGTATGGTATAATATTGGCGGAATGTTGTTTTATTGCCCGGGTAATGGCTGCTAAGAACACCTGCCCGTGCGCAACTAGCCCGGTATACAGTAAATAAACGTATTTTGCTCGTTAATGGGTACCGCCTTTCGCCTACTTCACGTTCTGTGTATTCTTAATCTTGATGAAGGCTTCCTCCATGGCCTCGTGGACAGGAGGTACACTGCAGCCAAACTGACGCAACTTTTCCAGTAGCTTGGTTACGTCTAGCTCGAGGTTGCAACGAGGCGCCTTCAGAATCTTCGCCTGCTCCTCTTCCGTGAAATTCTCCCAATGAAGGGATGGCCATAGGTGTTTTCTTAGTAAACCCATGAGTTCGTTATGTGTGAACGCGCCCGGATTGGTCTTATTTGATTTAGCCGATACACATAGTCGGTGCGGGCCGAAAGACTCACAAAATTGTACACTCCAACCTCATTGTTTACCGCCAGCAATATAGCGGCCGGGATAAGGCTGGGAAGAACACTCCCTGACTGGGCGGTTGTTAATTTATCTCACGTGACCATAGTGTTAAACTGACATTTGGAACATTTATCAACTTTTTGTATGAAGCAAGCTTCACAATCATATTCTTCGGATGTAGATCTGACCCGATGGGGTTACGGATGCGGAGGATCAATACATTGGCATACTGCTTCAAGATCTTTGCAATGGATTAGACCCTGCTTTATCTCTGAGCAGTCGCAGGTCTTGTTCACCTTTTCAGATACCACTTTGGTGTAGGAATAGAAGCTTTTCATGAAGTTCGGCTCGTCCTGTTCGGTATACCTTAGACCGCCCCAAGAATGCTCACCATCATAGTCGTAGATGCAACCTGACCCAAAATGTGTAAGATGCATCCCCTTAATAAAGCAGCAATCAGCTAGAGTTGTGGCTCCGATTATGTTGGATCGGATTGTCTCCTCTTTATGCGACTCGCACCAATCAACATTAGGATCACCCCTTGCTCCAGCGGTATTAATAACGTGAGTCGGTTTTACCCGGTCGAGTTCGCTGTAAAATCCAAGATAAAAAATGTAATCCTACTCGAGTGACCGGAACAAACATACCGTAATATTGCTTCTCTGTTTTCAATGCGCTCTTGGGAAACCACTAGCTGATGACCTGCCTTTTGGAGCGCATCTTGAACCTGGCCTGAAACCCAGCCATTACCTGTAGATGTTACAATGGTTGGAGATTGTGCTTGTTTAAGGAAGACTTACCAAAGATAATAAAGCTGACAGGCGTTTTAATTGCCATCATGGGCACGTGGCTGGATATCAAGAATTTTGGGAAACAACGTGACAAGCAAGATCTTTCCGTTTTCCCTTTTACTCAGTTCAAGAAATGTCGAATCTCCATACCACACCCAATCTATTTATATTCATGATCATGGACTATTATTATAAATTACAATTCATTATGCCTGGTATCATGGGTACCAGTCTCCAATTGAATCCCACCGGAGGCCAGCAGAAATATAACACCGCACTTATTCTTGTCTAGCGTCATACTTACTAGCACTTACCCGATAAGTCGTCCTACACCGAAGGCTGATCCATACGTCATCTCTTTTCTCCCTAGAACACGGTCAGGAGCTTCGGCTACCCGTTTCCAGACACAATGGCGCTACGGAAATTATATGTGGCTTCTATGATAAAATTTAGACCCTGCATGTCACCATAACAGGAAATATGGCGAGCAGAGTATTCAATCATCTGGTGATTGGGGCCAATTTTGCATATTTTAGTGAGAGCCATTCGGAAATGAAAAACTATACGAGATGGAGGGCGGCTGGGATCATTGTGATAATAGGCTGCTCGTCAGGACAGGACGCTAAAATACAGCGAAAACCCGGAGGATCAAATGTTGCCACCGGGCGACGGCGGATACACCATATACAGCTAGTACTGAGGAACGGACCAACCACCTTTATCTGCACTGTATCGCGTATATACATACTATCCCTTTCTTGAGCGGTGCGTGGATTGAGAGATAGATAGGAGTTTCAGGTTTGTCTGGTTTCCAGTAATAGCCTAGCTCAAGAAATAACCCTTTACTTAACAAGTTAGGCTAGACAAGGTATATTCTAGTATAAATAGCTGGAACTCTTGTGGTCCAGATATTCCCAAAGAGCTATAGTGAAATTCAACACTTATCTTCCCTTCACTCGGCCCCCAATGACCATCACTACCATTGAGCCTATGACTGGAACCGCCATATACGGTCCACGTCCTGGAGTTGAAAACATATTAGTCACCGGAGGTGCGGGATTTATCGGGTCTTGGATGTGCCAACACCTTGTGCTCCGGTACCCAGAATATAATATCATATGTCTTGACAAAATAAGCAGTGTTTCCTCTCTCAACAATATTAAGTACATTCAAGGTCGTACCAACTTTCGTTTTGTTCAGGGAGACCTCTGCGACAAGGAGCACCTAGTTCATATCTTAAAGGAGTACGATATTGACAGTGTCATCCACTTTGCTGCAGAGTCCAGTGTACAAAAGTCTTTCTCCGACCCAATTGCCTTCGTGGACATGAATGTATATGGGACCCTTTTCTTGATGGAGGCAATGCGCATACACGGGAAGATTACTAGGTGTGTCACTCTGTTACTATGCATAATTTGTTTCTAATATACCCAAGATTCGTACATACATCTACAGACGAGGTATACGGCGAGACCTGGGGTGTTAGTGTGGACGAAGATACCCGCATGAATCCTACCAACCCATATGCTGCTAGCAAGGCGGCCGCGGAGATGCTTATCATGGCCTATCAGAAGAGTTTCAATATCCCTGGAATAGTACTTCGGTGCAACAATATCTATGGTCCTGGCCAGTTTCCCGAGAGTGAGCATCTATACCAATCCACTATGGCCTTTACTAACTGGCTTGTATAGAGCTCATACCTAAATTTACAATGCTTGTCAATGATAGCCAGAAATTGACTATGCAGGGCAACGGTAGCCGTACGAGGAGCTTTATCTATGTAGCTGACGTAGTAGCTGCATATGATGCTGTGCTTCATAATGGAATGGTTGGGGCAGCCTACAATGTCAGCTCGTCTGATGAAGTATCTATCCGGGATGTTGCTATCGAAATTCTAAAGGCATTCGGACATGACAGCCAGGAGGAATTCGAAAACTTCATTATTTCAGCTCCAGATAGGCCATATAATGACAATGACTATGTTGTCAAGGGAGGCAAGCTGAAGGACCTTGGCTGGTCTCAAAAGGTCTTTTTTAACGAGGGCTTATCCAAGACAGTTGAATGGTATCGCAAGCATGGTGACAGATGGTGGGAACAGCAGCTTGGCAATACTATTGTTTTGCACGGTTCTCACCATACCTGACGTATATTTTAGGCAGGAATGTCTCCATTAACTCAGCTCTTGATGCCTTTTGAAGTTGGGGCGTCCAAGTTTATCGGAAGCCCCTCAAAATCATTTCTTCAGTAGGACTGTAGGATCGGTATAGTCGATGACTTTGAGCTTTTGGTGCTATAAATCTCCTTGTGGCCCAACCTGGTACCCCACTTTCTGATATGGTGGTGCATATCTTGATGCTTAGGCGTATACATACCTGGACTGTCAGGTTGACGGAATTCTCTAGGACGGGTTTTGCGTATGCTCCAATAATCTGACGGCCTTGCAATCCTCCTTTGGATGATTCTTGTACTTTAGCCGTCACATTCTTGGGAGAGAGAGTTCAGAAAGGAAACAGTTAAAGAATGGCGCGAACGCCAAGTGAGAATGGAAACTTTTAGACGTCAGCTGACGTCTCCCTAATTCGTGGGAAGCCCCTTTGGAAAAGGTGAAGTTCCCCAAAGGAAGTTGGCAGCATCCTATGTGGAGGCGTATCAATTACCAATCGCGATCGTCAGATTGAGCAAGCGCTTGCAGATGAGCGTATTCAGGCATATATTGATCTCCGAGCCGAACCGCTATTTAGTGACGTTACTCTTCGTATCTCATCCTACACGCTAAATAAGTGCTTAATGTACAAAACCGCTACCCACTGGTCGGCCGAGGAAAGCCACCAATTGGCAATTGTAGATGCATTACTTCTAAAGCACTAGGAATCCTCTATATCCATAGCATTCTATATGATCGTGTGTCTAGAAGGCCATTGCCTATCTCGGCCTTCCATTTTCACTGGCTAATATTGTGGGATGATCCGCTCGAACTATCTAATCTAGATCCTGATTCACCGATTGAGTGGCCTCTTGTATTAGTAACGTTGGCTGTACGAGCACGTGGAAGGCCTAGGGGTTCTAGAAATCGAGAGATATCAGGCTTTGAAAGGACCAAGCAAGCGTTCCGGCAGCAAGCTGCTGAAGTAGGCAATAGCCCCATTATACTAGAAGAGTCTTCCTATCTAGAAAAGCTTCGAAGCCAGCGAGTGGCAAATTACCAGTACGCGTTATATCACCATCTGGTTATAGTATAGTGTATCGTCCCAATGGCTAGCCTGACGACCGAACAACACATCGCTAGTCTCTCACTTGGTTGCTTCTTTGAGTTTGGAGGGTAAGTCATCTGGGGCCATCTTAACCGTAGTTTGCGTAAGTTGATTTTCAACAAATCGACAGTAGTAAATGGGCAGACTCAAATGATCGAACTGTCCTGTGCGAGCATTAGGATATATATAGCTTTTAATGTTCCCGCTATATGATCCGAAAGTAGTAGACGTGCTCGTCACTCTGCATACGAGCAGGGCGAGAATGTGTATTACCCACTACTATTTTGAACTTTTCACGGCGAACAACCCACACTAATTTAGTAGTGCTGCATGTTTCAGTAATGATGCTATTTTTCTGACCTGCAGGGAGGTCGATACACTAAGCTGGCGTTGATTCACGTAGCAGATACTAACCACGATGTATGAGGATTCTGATTGTCGCTAATTAGGTAAAGGGGGAGGGGTACGACAAAGCCCTCCTGGGCAGAATCTGCTGCCTAATGTATGTCATGCATAAATCACATCCGAACGAGAGGTACTTCGTACACTACCAATAGAACCTTGGGCTGTGACTCTGCAGGCATACTCTTTAGGAAAGGACAAATTGGACGCATGAATTCTCATATAATTGGCTCATTCACTACGCTGTATTCCCATATTCATTTATTTTCCGGGTTTATTCGGCTAATCTTCAAAAGTCTTTACTAGCATTCTTCTAACTCCAACATACACAGCTATAAGCAACATAGGAAGCCAGCTCTATGGACTACATTTACGGAGGGCTGGGATTTCCCTTCCAAATCGCTGCTCGAATATCATCAACACACCATCACGAATCATATTCACTGGAAGTACTCATTAGTCCACATTGGTCGCCGCCCCTATTGGACTAATCTACTTGATGTGCGTCATATCGTTGTACGGAGGCCATAAGCGGCCACCCCGCAACATCAAGCTCTTACTGATCTCTGCCAGCAGAATTGCCGCAATGAACACAAATACTCAGCATTTCTGTATTTAATACTTGAGTCAATAACTAACAGTACTGGAAGGTCTATATTCATACACTTTCCTGAATTGTTTATCGTAGAAAAGGTAAGATCACAAAAATACAGCTCTATATTACATATGTAATAGATTGTACCGTTAATACAATTATAACTTTAACGCCCAGTGGTCCCTACATGTAGGCGGTGTGACTCCCTAACTTAGTTAAAAGGCGATAGATCACCACTAGCTTATTTGGTATTCATACAGTACATTTATATATCATACGCATTTTCCATTACCTATTTCTACATAGGCTTCAGTAGAAGCTCGGCTTTCTTGTATATTTCATGAATTAGTATGTATTACCCATATGTGAATCTATATAATACCCTCTAGTGTGAATATATAGTAACACAATATAAGACTAGGTGGTAAATGGACTCGGGTGGGAACTGTCGTAGCAGAGTTGCCGGAATCATACTTTGTAATGGTTGGATCCCTGCTAGTGAAGTCAAGCACCCCTCCCCTCAGAAAACAAGGAAACTAACATTCCAATGCCATGACCTCTTAGTGTCGTTGGGTCGGAAACGTAACCACCATGGAGAGCAGCAGGATATGTTGGAATTGCGACAGATTGATTACGAAGTGGGGATTGATAGGTCTGCATACAGTAATTAAGCTAATGGCGGCGCTTTTCAGGTGAAGGCAAAAAGACGGTAACTACGTAAAATAGCCGAGATCAAATGCAATTGTTCTGAACATTAGGTGGTTTTTGTAAATGTATTATTTAGTGGCGCCCACATACCGAAGAATGTTAGCACAAAAATGCTAGCGTGCGTCGCGCGAAATAAGTCCTAGTTTACTAGGCTAACATATGCCTCCACGCGGAATGATCAAAATATTCTTGATTGGTAGATAATGTGGAATTAGCCTGTCTTGATACCTGGAGTATCATGTTTAATGTATGTGGCCGTGCCATTGCGCCTCTAACCCAGAAGGGGCGGCCGGACGCACCTGCATCCGGTTTGGGGTGGGGCGGATTTGGCGGGCAGACCGGTTTAGGGTCGACGTGCGTTCGTTCGGAATTGTCGACGTGCATCCGTAACGGAACCCCCGAGCCGATCAGGCTCAAATTTGGCCAGTTTACTGATTGAGACTGACTTTACTAGCTGTTTATTTTGCAGCTTGCTAATCCCCTGGAAAAGTATATTATTATTAGTTATCAGTTGTCAGTTGTTCCCGGTACAATATTGATTGGGGTAAATAGGGTGGGGCGCTGATTGGCAGAATTTCCCGACCGCCTAGATTTACCGCCCAACTGTATTGGCAGTATTAGGGTTAAACTGACTGATTTGTCCATTCTTAACTGCAGTACTCAGGGGTAATCCTGTACATACACAGATAAACTTGATTAGTTATGGATCATCCTATTTTTCGCAAACTCGATGGGCTGCCCATTATTATTTGTAAAGAATGCCAACACGGGGTCTGGCCCAGTGAGATCGTCCGCCATTTAACCGGGCGTACCCATCGAAA